GGCTTGACAGGTTGTGGCTTGTATCTAGCCATGAGTTTTCTTCTTGAAAGAATGGGTTTAGAACACGAGTGTGATGTTTGCTTATCAATATCTGCTATACGAAGATCACGGAAAGATTTCTGTAAAACATTGGTATTTATCAATTTTCATATGATAGTTTATAAGATTTCAATGTCTCATGTAATGATATAATCTCTTGTTATTTTAGGACCAATTCGAATATTTATATGATGCAGCGTTGATTTATGCTGATTATTTTGAAACATATGCTAATTTCTATTAAAATGTCAAGAATTAAGTAAAGTGATGAAATTTTTAGTTAAAATATAAGTACATAACTAATCTTGGTCTGATTTAGGTTATTAATCACAAGTAAGAGCTTAAATTTTGTCAGGGTCTTTATTTTGGCATTTTCTGACGAAATTTAATGATCATTAAAAAAAAAATGTCAGTTTTTTTGTTACACCATAGTATACACTCTTCGCAAAATTTTCGCCATTCCGAAAAATTTTAAAAACAACTTGAATTTTTATATTTTTTAAAAATAACTTTAAAGCGTGTGAAAAAATTTTAATAAAACCATGAATACATTTTTTGAACTTTAAAAACTGCGTCGAATGCTTTTTTAATAAAGAATGAATAAACGTGAAAAACCGTGCTATGAGCTTGAAAAGCTCAAATAACTAAAAAAACACATTTTAAGGTGCTTCAAATTCAAAATTAGCGAGAAGTTCTAGGGTTGGCCTGCGCGGTAAACCGATTTCCAGATTTTTAACTTTCCGGTAAGAAAATTAAAAATTTTCAAAAGTTGGGAAGTTATTGGTTTTAGCCCGTTTTTCGAAAATCGAGTTTTCAACGAATGTTGACGTTTTGAGTTCCTAGGAAGCTTCCCCGAATGTTTCCACGACGATGTCCGTGTATCTGTATGTATGTATGTGTGTGTGTGTTTTCCTTGATTTATTTTTTTGTTAAACTAATTGTATCTTTGCTAATTTCTATGCAAAATAAAAGCTTATACTTTGGAGAATTCCTAGACCCTACGTGCTACTAACAGTTCTGTAAAATTGCAGATATGCATCCATCGAACGGTTTTTTTTGGACCGATTGAAGTTTTAGAAAAATAAGTTAAGGAACCAAGATTTGCCTTTTCATCAAACATTTTTTGAGTTTAAAACAATGGCTAAAAAGTTTTTTTTTCTTCTGTTTTATATTACTTTCACATCGATAAATATAGAAGATAGCCAAAAAAAATTTGTTTTTCGAAAAACAAATTTCGACCGCAAAAAATTTGATAGTAAAATTGTTTCATAATTTTTTTTCACCAAAAAAATCAAGAAAGTTTCAAATTTGAGAACAAAAAATATTGATGTGCAATTGCAAATATATATATATATATTTTTTTGTGTTTTTGTATTACCATCAGAATGATGTCGATAAGCGAGAGAATAATTCTTTAAAAATTATCATATGAGGTGGATATGTACTGTAATATATATGTACATATCCCTTTTCTTTCGTTTTCTGCTGTGTTAATATATGTGTTAGAAAATTTCCCCTTAAATAATTATACAATTACAATTGAACATGCATAAAATACATATTTAGTGACATACTAACAAATGTAATAACTAATATGTAAGAATATCTTTCTCTTTGGGTCCCCACCATGACAGCTTCCTTACCTTTTAGCAACTACTTCCACCGTTATCTCGCTCGACTCGATAAAACTTGAGTTACAGAAGCTCATAAAGTAATTAGTGTATATAATATACATCATCATATATTCTCATATTTTATAATTACTGATACAACGTGTTCAACCAACATCAGGGTACATTAAGAAAAATAATATATATTTTCTTACCTACTGTACATCAACTTTATAGTACTTACTATACCATACTGTACTTTGAAAAACGTATTTCAATATATTCTATTGTAATTACTGGGAGGTTATTTAATTTTCATAGCATTTATCAGTGTGTGTATGCCTGTGCCTACGGATTATTCCCATATATAAGAGTGTCTTGCACCCTTATCATAAACCTCAACAATTATTAAATAAACTCGGTAACTCTCAATTGGATACAACTCAATCAGGTATATTATATATTTAGTATATATATTATACACATAATATTACAAGCATTAAAATATAAAATAATAATTTCTATTGACCTAAATAAATAATTGTGATTTAATATTTATCGACATACATGATAGAAGATAGAAGAGGTTATTATTTGTTACAATTACAAACGAGTGCGATGCCACCTGACGTCGATGCTCTGTGCACTTTAAATTTTAATTTAATTACAAAAATCTATTAAATACTCATTGTTCATAGTTTACATTTTCATTTTTTTAAATTATTTTTTTGACGTGTATTGTTATTTCAATTTACTTAATTATCTTTATTATTGATGATATATTGATATTGAAATTAATTGACATTTGACAAATTGTTGGATTTATTCAACAAATAAATTAGTTTTAAAATTTTATTTTTAAAAAATAACAATCAGTTGTTTGCAATTTCTACGTGTGAAAATTTTATTAGTCATAATTTATTCGTTGAAAAATCCTGAAAATGACCAAGTGTCTGTTATTGTCAGTATTATTGTTATTGTATAATTTTTTATTTGGAAATAAAAGATAAAATAAAGTCAAGTCAAGTACTTATTATACAATTAATATTAATTTAAAGATAATAAATTCAATAGAATTTACAGCGACTTATGGTCAATGACATGAGTGAAAAAATATTTTTTTAAAGCACGTGGTTAGACTTTATGACTGACCACTTTGAAACCATTTAATTATATGCTATCTTATTATGGTTCTAGTAATTTTATAATATATTATGACGAAAAAATAAACAACAAAAAAAGCATCACGTGTAACGATGTGATATAAAATATATTGATACTTGTTAACACATGATTGTATTAACTATAAACAACACATGACGTATTGTTTATCATAATCGATGATATGAATATTATTTATTGATATAATTTTTAAATTAAAAGTGTTAGTTGTTTTGAACAAAAAAATAATTCTGGTTATGAATGCTTGTCCCGAGTACTCGGGTGTAGTTTATATTACACTTACGTTATATAACGTAAATGCTATCATGATCATGAATCTTGTTTGATCAGTATAGTGTCATATCTGCCTATACGAGTTAATGCTTATACCTATCTTTATACATTACTTCTGTCTTGATCATTACTAAGTTACTGAGACGCGGGCTTTTTGAATCACGTGCGTAATGTGTGATGGATGTATTACACGACATTGAGGGGAAAATCAACAGAGTCAATTTCATCAGTGTTAAGAATTATTAGATTATTGCTAGGAATTCTTCAATTTATACTATATATATATATATGTACGTATATGTGTGTGTGTGTGTCTACGTTTAAATAAATAATAGACACAGAAATTTATTTTAATAATATAATAATCTCATCTGTTAATATTATTATTTTTCTTGTTATTATGGTTATTATGAAAACAAATTCTTTCCTGTTCATTTCTATTTGTTATTCTTAAGTAGTTTTTATAAAACCATGAGAAAGATTATTCTTACGTATGGGCTTTGGATTCATTCTCAAGATTGCCGCTTTACAATTGCGGCTAACTCTGACAAATGATTTGGCCGTGGCCCAACTTAACAATATGTAATAAAGATTCGTTTATCCCACGTCTCAAAGTTTATCCATATTATACTTCTTATCGTTAGTTAAATTAAGTGATCAAAAAATTTAATGAATTATCAATATTTATTATTCAATTCAAATTTATTTTTTATGTATATTTATTATATTTGAAAAATATCAAGACTAAGGAGAAATCTTACAGTAAAAATATTTTTTAAAGCAGTAAAATTCTTGTAAAATCACATTATTTTAATTAATATATTATTCTAAGCCTTATAATTACTTGATATAAATTTTTGAGCGCTTTTAATTTTTATATTATAATTTAATTTTTAACTATATTAGTATTTTGGTTTATATTTGTAACGAAAAATGATCTCAGCTTACATTGTTAGCAGAATTCTTTTGATTAAAAAATTAATATAATTATAAATGTTTCAAAAAAAAATTTAAAATTTAATCTCTGACCGGAAACATAAATTTACTTCATTCAAATTTTTTATTCTCGAAAAAAATTTTTTCTTTAAAGTCTATTTTTAAAATTTTTTAATTGCTTTTAACCATTAATTTAATTCCACTATTTTATGCAAAGTTGTTTAAATCTTTATTTGAAGTCAATTGATTCTTTCCAGCTTGATTAGAATCATACACTGATAGAAAAATTAGCTTGTGTCAAGAAACTATTTTAAAAAAACCGATTTTCTTGAGCCAAGAAAAAAATTTCTTAAACTGAGAAAAATATACTCATACAAAAAAAACTTTCTTGGCTCAAGAACTTTTTTTTATTGAGCCAAAAAAATCATTTTTTTTTTTTTTCAAAATAGTTTCTTGGCAGAAAATTTTTTTTTTTTTTAACGCAAGCTAACTGTTTTATCAGTGTAAGTATTTTGAATTAGGCATAGTATTTTTTACATTTGATACTATTAAAATCATATAATTGAGGTGATTGCGTATCAAGCGATATACATAATTTTTCATAAACAGAAAATATTTAATTTTTGTTACTTGATAAATGGATTACACAATTACTGTGAAAAACAAGATATTGATTGAACAAAATAATTAAAAAATAAATTTTAAAATTAACACGGCATAAATTGACGTATTAACGCGTGTTTCATTTTTTTTTTTTTTTAATATTATAAGGTAAAAGCCCTAATAGATGATCATGTACCAGTATATGATCATCTATTGGGGCTTTTACCTTACACCAAACTTAAAAAAAAATTCGACTTGATAATTGACCTTAATTTAACAAATAGATGATTAATAATTTACAATAGTTTATTAAAATTTTTACATAAAACTTTAAGTTGAAAAAAATGAGAGAAGTGAATGCAGCATATTTTCAGGATTCTATTGAGGAGTCGTGATAACAACAGAGGCATGACGTCAAATGAATCAACGAAGAAAGCGCGAATAATGGATCAAAAAGATAATATGACTTCAATAGAATGTAGGATGAGACTAAAACCAATTGTTCCAATTGAATTTACAGAAGATATACCACTACATGATGCTTATGCTGGAATCATGAAAGACAAAAAAAATTTTGCTGTTGCAATAAAAAACATCGCTGCTATTCTACCTGGATTTGGACATTTGAAACGATGCTTTAACAATAAATTACTTTTATCATTCATAAACAAAAAATCTGATCCAGTTAAATCTTTTGAACCATCGTTCGAAACGGAAGTTGAATTAAAACAATTTCTAGTTGATAAAAAATTTGATTTAAATCTGTTTGAAGATAATTTTGCAATTATTTCCATTCCTAAAATAGCATCAAAAAGTTTAGAACAAGCAAAAAAAGCTGCTAAATATTGGCCTGTTAGTTTTCATCCTGACACTGAACTTGAGTCTATTATGAACGGAACATTTTTCACGTCAAATCAGGTTGATGTTATTCAAGCTTGTATGAAGGTTTGTATTGAGGCGACGAAAAAGGCGACTGTGGGTAATGATATATGTAATGGTGCCGCAGTAATTTTAAATCCAAATGATTGTGGTGTTAGTAAAATACTTGCAATTTCAGCAGCTAGATTACATGAACATCCTATGTGGCATGCATCAATGCTTGCTATAGATTTGATAGCTGCAATGAGAGGTAAAGGTACTTGGAATTTAATATCTAATGTCAATGATTTTATAAATGATGATAGTAGAAAACGAAAATTACAATCTAATCTTCCACTTTGTTATCCACAAACTTTGAGGGCTATTGACGTTCCAAAATTTAATTATTCTACTAATATTAAATCTAAAACTAAAAATGATAACACACAAGAGGATTGTAAATATTTGTGTACAAAATATTGGATATTTCTTATTCAAGAGCCGTGTGCTATGTGTGCAATGGCATTAGTACACTCAAGAGTGGGAATGGTATTTTATAGCACCAGTAATAAAAGTTATGGTGTTTTAGGAAGTAAAACGTCACTAAATACACTGCCTGGTTTAAATCATCGTTATAAAGTATGGTGTTGTGCCCTTGAGCAAGATTGTTCTGAGAATGTAATGGAAATTTACCAATCAACCAACTAAATGCCAGCAATAAAATTAGGCAATTCTTATGTCTACTCCAAAATGAATAAACGCTTAGGAATGGTTCATATAAATTAGCGTCCACGTGAATGCCGTCAATGTCAACTGGGATTGCAGTTAATTCATTTGAATGTCAAGTAGTCAGTATTTTCTTTCGTCTAAATATCTACATACATATGCACGAATAAATATTACAAATAACTGTTATTTTATAGTTCATCATTAATTTTTATTTTGTGCTCTTAAATAACTACAGTATATTTTCATTAATTAAATAAAAACTAAATAGATTCAAAAATCAGCCAAGCCCAAATTAGTTTAATTTTCTGCAATAGTTATGTTTTCCGCTTCCTTTTCCTGTGCAATCGTTTTATACATTCAATTGATTTACGACCGAATGACATTGTCACTTGATGTATTTGGTAAATTAAACATTCACGAGTATTCACATCTCGTCGATGTTTTAATTTATTATTGGTATTTGAGCGCATAGCGTAGTCGACCCATGTGATTGACATCAATTAGTGTATATATAATACGGATTCATACTGTTAGTAGTATCAAAGAGAGCTTATCCTATTATAATTATAACTACTGTGCATCGGTTAAATGTTTCATATTCTTTAACTTTGTATAATATTACACTATTTTATGATTGTTTTTAACCAATCTGACTTTTTATAAAAATATACATTTATGAGTTTAAAAATATAAATAAATTGTCACTTTAAAAATTATATTGTTTCTATTACTCACAACAATTAATTTAAAAATATTAAAAACTTGTGTAACGCAATAAAGGTTGACAGTATTGCCCTTAACTACACTTTACCTGATAAGTATGGATAAAAGTTACTAAATTACTTGATAACGTTAATAAATATTTTTCCCTCAAGCAAGAAATTACTCACAAAACAAGTTATATCTTTTTTATTTTTTATTTCAAACAGTAAATGATAAGAAAAATTGAAAATTTTTTAAAATCAAAAATACTGTACACACTATAATTAGTATACCTACAACAGTTTTGTTTTTTTTTTATTTAACGAGCATGTGGTAATCGTAGAATGGTCTAAACAAATACGTGCTAGAAAAACAAATTAAAAAAATTACAAAATCAATAGACAGAGTAATAAATCATAATTTAACTAATTATGATAAAAATCATATTAGATTTAATCACTTGAGATACACTCATGATGTGTGAAACAAAGTTAAATTTAAAGCATCAAAACTTATTTATGTACTTATTAATTTATAAAATTAGGTTGTTTATTTTAAAGTAAATTTTTAATTATAAAAAGCATAGTTGTGATAAAATGGTTATTTTATTAATATATTGAAGAAAATTCTAAGTTTTATCAAAATGATTATCAAAAGTACATCCATTAAATAATTATGATGAATAAAAAAAATTTTTTTAAAAGAAGAGAAAAATGTAGTTTCTCTACAATGATTTCGTTAAAGATAAATATTAAGTAAACTTTGTTTTATTTACAGATAACTTTTCAAATAGAAGAAAAAATAAAATTGGATAAACGTCTTTAAGAAAAGAGGGAGACATTGAATAAGAGGAAAGATACCTTGGTAAAATACAGGACGTGTCTATATGTTTCGTCCGGGCGTCGGTCCCTGAGTGGTTCCAATTGACTTACAGTCTAAGTTGGTTCTTATTGGCCAGACGGTTGATCCCCTGACTCCTGAGACACAAACGCTACGCCATTACAACAACGGTTTCCGTCATCATCTTTGTCGTTGCTTAAATGATCGTCTTCTTCATCAGCTCCATAACATTTTGTATATGCTTGTCTCTGTAAACCTTTATCATCGTCATCACCGCTACTGCTAATCCACCACTGTCAACGTTACTGGTGATACTCTGATTACTCTACTTATGTTATTCGTTTGGAAACAGTTGATCGTGTAGCTTCGAGGGATCAAGTATCTCAGCTCCGATCTCATATAATATTCTCAATCACCAATAGTCACTGTTAGTGAAAGTCTATTTCGAATTTAAACTATAATTAGTACTTATCATATCTACCTTTTACGATAACGATTTTAAGTTTATTTCATTTTTAGAATATCAATATCAATTACTTTTTTGTTAATATATTTTGGAACGTAACTGCGAAAGCATCAGGGACTCGATTGAGTCTGTGAAGGCCTTTCGTGCCTTGAAATTGAGTCTTCCAGTAACTCAAATACAAGTAATTTTTTTTTTTTTTAACTTAATAATCTTTAAACTTATCAAAATCATTTATTGATTTATAATTTTGTTAAGGTAATCCATAATATTTCTCTGGAGGTATTTAAATTTTTTATCGGAGTTGAAAGAAGAAAATGAAATACTAGTAAAATACAAAGAGAAAAAACAACTATTGGAAAGTTGGCACAATTGTGTGATTTTTTCCAATTGAAGAATATCTATTATTTTATCATCATGGAGAGAAGAATTTTGAAAATGTTGTGACTAAGTAGCAAGCTGCAAGGCCTTCGTCGCCGTCCAAGACACTAATGAGTGTGTGAACAGTAGTATAGAAAAAAAAAAATTAAGCTGCAGTTAATCAAAATAAGAAGAAATATATAATCAATCCGCAAAAGGAGTTTATTGTTGATGAATATTGTTTATTTGTTGACGTGTGATTGATGTGCAAATAATTAAAGTTATCTAATAATACGCGTTCTTCTGAAGTATTTAACAAGTTGTTGATAATATTTGTTGTAACAGAAAACATTTTCAGCGGATTTAATTGACGAATCAGTTATTAAATAAATTGTGGTGAAAAAAAAAAAAACTAAAAATTAAATAAGAGAGTTTTTTAACAAAATTTGAATTTTTTTGGAAAAGAAGATTATTTGTTACTACAAAATGCGATTCGGTAGAGGCTCTGCAATGTTGTTCGATGCATTTGTTGTTTTTTCACGTGTCCTTTCACTGAGATCCCGGGGCTGCGCACTACTGGAAACACACCGACAGCGCGAGACCACCGGCATCAAGAAATTGTACAATAGTTTCTTTGTTATGTTTTAAAAGACTATTTTAAAAAAGTCACGTAGCTTTTACACCTGACTTTTTCTATCATTTATCGTCAGAACAAATTGAATACTTTAGTGGAAGATAGATGATAAAAGTAGCATCAACTCGAAGATATTAGCAAGTGATGTCTTTATATCTAATTGAAATATTTGAATTTAGAAAGCTATATTTTTTTAGCTGTGCTCTAGGTAACTCTAAAAGACACATTTTAAATCTTTTACTAAAATACAATCTTTAGATGCTTGAATGAGTTGTTAACAGCAAATTCTTATATCAAACTAGAAAGAAAAATAACTACTACATTGTGAAATTAACTTGAGACAAAAAAATAACATGATAAGTTAAAACGGCCAAATTTTAAATCAAAAAGCTGTTGAACAATAAATACATTGAAAAATTAATACGCTTAAAACAATGCATATGAGATTACGAACTTTGAATTAAGGCCGATATTGATATTCATTAAACATTTTTATATGCTTATTTTTTTTATTAAATTTGTTAAAGTTATCATTTTTTAATCTGCAAAGTATCATTGAAACGTTAATATATAAAAATAAACAACTAACTTTTTTAAAAATAAAAAAAATCAAGTCAAGCACAAAATAGTAGAATTGTCAAATAGTAGTGTCATTGTCTAAATTTATTAAAATGGAGTTACAAGAGACAAGCTCAGATACACTGAATGAATCGATGTGGCCGGATCATCTTCCATCACCATCGTATCAACAATTATCACCGCCTGTTCAACAAAGCGGACGCAACGTCATCACCACTCAACAAGTATGTTTAATATCACAACCTACGCATTGCATGATTCTTATATCCACGTGATTCATCTTTTAATACTTTCTATTTATTGTTTAAATAATAAACATAAAAATATATCTCTCAATCATCTTAATATCCCTAATATTGTCCTATAGATATCCGTGAGTTATCATACTCCGGATGGTAGTATTTTGTGGAATGAAAAACGCGAATCACCACAAAGTTCTCCAGATACAAATGAACCTTTACTTCATTCCGACGAGATACGAGAAAATTCACCAACAAATGAACAAGCTTCAGCTTCTGGATATCATCAGTTTATGTCAAATCGTAAACGACGATGTGAGCTTAATCAAATTGGTGACTTGGATCGCAAATATATTCGAAGAGATGGTAAATATATATTTTTCTTTTTTTTTTTCAATAATTAGTTTTGTTATTAAATTATCATTTAAAGAAAATTAATGATTAATGATACTTTATTTGGTAATAAAACTTGTAATACCCAAAAATGTAACATAGTATTGTAATTGAAGTTTTGAATTACAATACTGCTGTGGGTCAATTGCTTATTTCCTCAAGATTTTTAAATTCAAGGCCGGCTCATGTCAAAGGCTCCAAGAGGGGTATGAGTTTTATTCAAACTATTATTGTAATTTAATTAATTAATTTATTATTATTATTATTATTATTATTATAATGATTGTTCTTTATTATTTTTAATTTAGGAACGGGTGGCAATGCAATAAGTTTACAGGCGAACTTTTTCAAGATTTTGAGCGCTCCTGATTGGGGTTTGAGGCAATACCGTGTAGATTTTGCCCCTGAAGAAGACAGAACTATCGTTCGAAAAGGCTTATTACGACTTCACAAAAAAGCATTAGGAACTTACATGTTTGATGGAAGTGTTATGTACACTTGCAATCGTTATTCAGGAGTTTCAAAAACAGAAGTAAGTTATTAATTGAGTCCAAGTCTTATTATCAAAATTTTTAAACAATGTCTAATGGAAATTTATACTTACTAATAAACTTTTTTTTTTGTTACAGGCGATGGAATTATTCTCGGAGCGGCAATCTGATAACGCTAAAATAAAAGTCAGCATTCGTTTAGTTGGAGAGTTGGTTAAAGGTGATCCACACTACCCACAATTCTTCAACATCATTGCTCGCAAAGGACTGGAGCATCTCCATCTTCAATTAGTCGGACGCAATTACTTCGACGCTCGAGCAAAAGTAATTTTTTTATTAAATAGATTAATATAGTAATTTTTACATAATTATTCAATATTACGGTTTTATAATGATACATTTATTTTTTTTCTATTATTTTTAAGGTGGAAATTCCTGAGTACAGATTCGAATTGTGGCCGGGTTATCAAACATCAATTCGTCAACATGAACGTGATGTTCTAATGGGAGTAGAAATTACTCACAAAGTAATGCGTCAAGAAAATTTATTAGATATTTTAGGAAGAGTTCGTTCTAACGCTCGTGGAGGTGATATTCAAGTAAGTTTAATCAGATCATTTTTATTTTCAAACAATTTTTTTCTTTTATTTTATTTACAACTAAATGTAATTTTACTTTTATTTTATTGAATGCTTCAAATAACAAATTAGGTGTATTTCAATTTATTATATTTTTTCATTTCTTTATTCTTACAGGGAGCTTGCAAAGCTGAAGTTATTGGTGTCACAGTATTAACTGGCTACAACAATAACACATACCGAATTGAGGACATTGATTTTACTAAAAATCCAAAATCTTCATTTAAATTGGGAAAAGAAGAAACTTCAACTACTTACATTGATTATTATCGTAACAAATATGGTCTTACTATTAATAATCTGTCGCAACCATTACTTGTCACTCGTTTACCCCTGCGAGATCGTCGTGCAGGAAAAGATGAACTGCTTTATTTAATTCCCGAACTATGTAGAGCCACAGGTAACTTCAATCGAATTCTCTTACAAAAAAAAAAAAAAAAATTAACAATAAACCTCACTGACAACTATTTTGTATTTTTTTTAGGATTAACTGACGAAATGAGAACCGACTATAAATTGATGGCTAAATTGGCGACATTCACTCGCCTTAACCCTGACCGGCGTATTGATAGATTACTTCATTTCAATAAACGACTCCAAGATGAGTTAACTGTAGTGGAAGAGTTCCAACAATGGAATTTAAAACTAGACAATAAGTTGGTAGAAATTCCAGCTCGCGTCATTCCACCTGAAAATATAATTTTTGGAAACACGAAGCAATCTGCTTCTACCAGTGCTGACTGGACTCGTCACTTCCGAGGTGCCCGATTGATTATTTCTACTAAATTAACAGATTGGGTACTGATTGTTCCAGAACGTGCTAAACGAGACGCACAAGTAAGATTTCATCATTATTTTCTCTGTTTTTTTTTTTTTTTTTTTTTTTTTTTTTTTTTTTCTATAAATTTTATATATTTTTATTTAACGCTTTTTCATTTACACATACGAGTAATAAAAATTAATTTTTGACTATTATTATATTATAATATATTTCAGCCATTTATTGAAAATCTCATCAAAGTCGGTAATGGAATGTCATTCGCCATAAATAAACCCCAAGTTCGCGAAATAATGAATGATTCTGCACAATCATATGCTGAAGAGTTGGAGAGAATAATGAGTCGCAATGTTCCACAACTCATATGCTGCATTTCAGTAAGATCACGAGCGGATGTCTACTCAGCAATCAAGAAGAAGTGTTGCCTTGATCGTCCTATTCCGAGTCAAGTTATTCTTTCGAAAAATTTGGCATCTAAAGGTCTGTAAATTTTATTATTTATTATATTGCAACAGAATAATTATTACACAATATCCTGCAAATTCTTCTTTTAAATAATTTCATCAGGTGCCATGTCAATTGCTACCAAAATAGCAATTCAAATCAATTGTAAAATCGGTGGTGCTCCTTGGAGTCTTGACTTTGGAATCGCTGGATTAATGGTTGTCGGATTTGATGTCTGTCACGATCCTAATCAACGTGGAACTGATTTTGGTATTTCTCAAATTGTTATTTCATACTCGTAGTAAAAATATTAAAAAATTAAATAATAATAACTTTTCTTCTCCTCTTAGGAGCCATGGTTGCATCACTTGATCGCGGTATGACCAGATACTTTTCGGCAGTCAGTGCTCATAAAAGTAATGAAGAGTTAACCAACGAATTCAGTATCAACATGGTCAAGGCATTGCGTAAATACGCGGAATTGAATGGAGATAAACTTCCATCCCGTATTGTCGTCTACCGTGATGGCGTTGGCGATGGACAGATTCCCTACGTATTGGAACACGAAGTTGATCATCTTCGGGAAGCTCTTAGCAAATTATATGGAAATGCTGAACTGGTGAAGTTGGCCTTCATCATTGTCACAAAGCGCATCAATACAAGATTGTTCTACAATCGTCGTGAAAATCCACCTCCTGGAACCATTGTTGACGACGTAATCACTAACCCATGGAGGTATGATTTCTTCATTGTATCTCAGTGTGTTAGACAAGGATCTGTCTCACCCACAGCCTACAATGTCATTTATGACAATGTCGGTCTCGATGTCTCTTGCATCCAGAGACTGACTTTCCAGTTGACTCACATGTACTTCAACTGGAGCGGAACTGTGAGAGTTCCAGCACCTTGCCAATACGCTCACAAATTGGCATTTTTAATTGCTCAAAGTATTCATCGGCCACCCAGTAGCCATTTGGAAAGTCTCTTATATTTCCTTTAAATACTTTTTTTTTTGTGTTCAGTATATATAATTATTCAGGAATTATTAATATTTGATAATGTCATATTTTAAATATTTAAAATATTTCGATAATTATTTTTCATATTAATTTTCTATCTATTTGTGTGTTTTTTTTTTATAATTATAATGAACATAATTAATATTTTCAATATTTGAAAATTTAAAGTAAAATACTAAATTTTTATATAATTGTTAAAAAATTGGTCTTAGTATTTGTTCAATTAATTAATAATTATTAATATTTAATAATTAGATTTTTTGACGTGTTAATTATAAATCATGACGACGTTAAATATTAAAATTTATTTTTACTAATTATAAAATAATTGTGATAGTTATTAACAAATACATTTGTTTAATTTTAGTGTATTAGATTTAGGACTACAAAATTGTAATAATATTGGATATATTGTTATAATTATAATCATGTTGATTAAAATAAAATTTTCACAGAATATTAATTAAAATTTGTATTTTGATTTTTTTTTCTTTTCTGCATAAGAAATTCTAAAAGAAAAAAAAAATACTAAGCTTATGTGGATGATCCTCTGTGGACGCATGCGTGTCTAAAGAGGGTTGGTTACGAGTAAAAGAGGGTTGATCACTATTTTACAAAGCAGACAGTGTGCTTCACGGGCATTTATTCTCCAAAAATTAAATTAGAATATCGCTCTATATTTCAGTATATTTCATTTGTGCTTCAAGATAACTAAATTTAATTCTTGATTTACGAATTTTGATCGAACAATTAAAAAATTTTAATAATAAAAAAAAGTGTTGCAATTCTTTCTTTGGATCGTTTCGAGCAATATTGGTAAGTCAACGACCTCTACTATACAATATTTAACTGTAACATAATTTACAAGTTCCCGCTAATTATTTAGTTAATTCTCTTAACTTAAAAAAGTATTATAGCTAAGTTAAATCTATTTTAACTATTAAGTTGTATAATATAATGAAAGATATATTATGTCATTGAAAACCTTAGTCACAAAAATATTAAATATGAAAATTAAATTGATTAATTTATTATTAAGAACAAAAAAATGACGCTTTAATTTCTTCTTAAAAATACTTTTGAAATACGTTAGTATTTATGCTGATTTACAAAATTAAAAAGCATTGTACAGAGTAAAAATACGCTTGAAAATGACGTCAAGGTAGTAAGTTGATATTGATTATACGTACATGTAATAATATGAACGTCAAATAAAAAAAATCTGACATTGGACATGTTGTATCCAAGTATTTATTTACATGTTATATGTGAAATAATTTCTAAACAACATAAAAAATAAGTAAATCGGTATGAAGATAAATTATTATTCAATAATCTAAGATCGAGGGTTTTTTATTTTTTCATTGATATTTATTTTTTGTAACAAAAGTACATAGTAGGTGGTATAGGTATTGTATATTGAAGCCAAAAAAAGAGAAAAATATAGCTAAGAAGAAGAGAGTGAATGATTGGTGTGCGCTCGCGTTAAAATTACAAAGCAGTGTGTGAGATGGAATGAGAATGCATAGTTTGCTAAAGAATGAGGACGAATGGAAGGACTGAAGTAAAGGAGAGTAAATGAGAGAAGGAGTAAGAACGATATGAGGGTGTTGGTTACGTTTTCGCGAGTCGATAAACCCACTATGGAGTTGGAGCGAACGTCTGCGCGCGGCTTCAACATGGTGCTCGGTGAGTAGGGAATTATCTCTGTTTTTCATTGATATCTTACTATGAATTTTAAATATAAAGGGATAAGTAGTTTATTAATAGTTATTACGCTGACAACTTTACAAAACATATACGGAATGTCTATTAATATAATTTACTATTGATAATAATTTAAATAATATAAAAAACCTTCTAGTTTTCATCCAACTAATATATATATATATATATAATCACCGTTAAATTGATTTTAGAGAAGCAAACGTCATGCAAATCAAAGACGCTCTTATGTCGTCAGTTATTCACTCTGAATTAAATAATAAGTGAGTAATTGCATAAAGATTCTAAGAAATTTAATGAATGTTAATTTATAGTGACTAACGATTTATTTTATAGTCAACTTGAGCGAGAAAATCTGGGAGTGGCATCAGGCTCTGTTGAAATAAAAACTTGTGATGAAAATACTTCTGAAAAAATTGAAGATTATCCAGAATCACCGGGATATGAAGTTCAAAACTTTCATGTTGCTCGAGATACTACAACGTGGTCATCAGTTGCTATAACTCATACGAATGTCAATAACCATCCAAAACATATAAACAGTATTATCAACAATAATTTGTCTGTTTCAAGATTGTCATTAAGCAGTTCTACGGATAGTTTCTCCGATTATGACAGTAAGATAATTGAATTAATAAAAAATTATAATTATTCTTATACATAAATTTATATTCTTAACTCTTGAATAAAATTCAAAAAATTGTTTTAGCTCATGAATTATCTGCAGGATCGGAATGTTCAGAAAATTCAGAGGATGGTAGTTTGTCAAGACCTTGTCGTGGAATAATAAATCCTAATTATCCAGGATTTCAGCATCTGGCTCCAGCATTTTTATCAATCTTCAATGAAGATCGTACTGACAGTCCAGATTTGCCTTCAGAATTCAGTGAACAAGAATTAGATAACAAAATCAATGAATGTCGTAATAATAACAAAAATATAATAGATACAACTAAAGAAACAAATGAAGAAGATAATAATGATAACTGCGATAGAATAAATCATTTTGATACCCAAAAAGACGAACATAAATTTTTCTACAAGAAATCAAAATTTAATATTCAGGTTGGTAATTTATATAGTATTTTTATATGATCACGTAAAACTAGTTGATTAAATAATAAATTTAATTTTTCAGCAGACATTGGACGCAGTTTCGCCCTCGGAAAAATGTTTAAACTATGTCAAGAGCATTGAACAATCAAAACAAGGATTGGAATCAAATAACTCTAATATTGATTATAGTCATAATCATAGTTCTGTAGAGATAGAAGTGGCTGAATTACAATCTAGCTCAACTGAACGACCCCAATTTGCTGAAATTGAAGATATTCCGTCAGATTCAGGCACAGGAAAAACTTGCGAACAAGATAGTGAAACTGAGGAAATAGTAATTGAACACATAGATCTTATTTCTGAAGCTACGAAACTGTCACAAAATACACCAAAATTAGAATCCAGAGTAAAATTATTAAATTCAAATCTAATTGATAACTCAGAAACAGTATATTATTCTGAAGATTTATCTGGAAAAGAAAAATCATTACCGTATACCAAACTAGAAGAAATTGATTTGTTGTCAAGTATAGGTCGTGATATTGGTGTAAATCTTGAAAAATATATCCAACCTATTCCTGACGTAGTTGCAATGGAAACAATTGATGTTCATTCTTCTCGTTCATTTTCTAATTTAGTAAAAGATACGATTCGAGAAGATACAAATAAGCTTCAAGATCAAGATTTAACGGAAACTGCAAGTGTTGATTTAAGAAAAAAAGAAAAAATGGCAAGAAATCAAGCACGAAGACGTCAACAATCACTTATAGGACAACGTCGACCTGAAAAACGTCGAGTTGAACAAGTAGACAAAGCTCCGGGCAGCTTTGATGTTTATAACATCGAGACAGCAATGCCCAAAATTGACCTGGATGCTATTGAATCTCATTTAATAGCAGCACGTGAAGAAGAACGACGGGTAAGATTAATTGACACCAATTTTATATAAAATAATATATGCCTACATAAATACCTATTCAATGAAATAATAGCTAAATCTTTATTGCGTCGAATGTCACCTTATAAATGTCATAGTAGTATCACATGCGCGTTTAGAAATAGTTCTAATACTAAAAATCGATAAAAGAAATTTGCATGTTCTGTTTGAAGATTAAAAAGCTTACAGGAATTTCACCAAGATACCTGTTAAAGTTTAAGGGTTCAATGTTATTTAAGGAAAAATACCAGCACAACAATTGATTATTTTAATTTATCACGTTCCATAAAATGTTTACTGATATTTTATATTAATATCATAATTTATTATTATTTATTATTATTATCATCATTATTATTATTATTATCAAGTATGAGTGATAGAAGAACCGAGATATAATAAACATTACTGATAAATGACAATGTGCTGATGGGTATAAAAAAGATATATTAAAAAGTGAAACAAAGAGAGAGAGAAAAAAAATTTAATATGACTAAAACGATGATACGCTTAACACACGGTACATAAATTAAAATAATTGTCGGCATGTTGAGTGAGTAGAATTTAAATTAAAATGTATCCAAGTCTTTTTCGTTATCGGTCCACTATTGAACCTCAGAATCGTGATTTTTACCATAATTCTCTCGACTATACACAGGTACAAATAATATAATATATAATCTTATGTACTTTATTTTTTAATAATATTCATTGTATAAAGAGGAGGAGAAGATCAGCTTATTTTCTTCATTTATTATTTTATTAAATCCAATTTGGTTCATTTTTATTAAAATTTTAGTCATATTAAAAAAAAATTGATTTAATTTTGAAATTAATTTATATGAATTAAATGAAAAAAAATTTAGAAAGAAAAGGAAAGATTAACGACAGTGCTGAAAGTAAAAAATTCCAAGTGGTTGTTTTACTTGACCGATCAAGCAATACATATACAGGAAGTTGTTTATTGAATTTTCAATATTTTAGATACTTTATTATGTGTAATAACTATATAAAATAGTATTAAATATAATTTTGTTAATAATGCTGATGATAATAATATAATCTCAATTCCTGAATATGTTACATAGAAATATAGAAAAAAGTAACATAAAATAGAATTGGCCTAAATATTTAAGTGAAAAGTAGTAGTACAGTAAGATTTAAGTATTTAAAGTAATACTTGAAGAAAAATATGAGTACTTTCACTCAGCTGACACTGTCTTGTCTGATTCTGTTCTCAACAGTTGAATCTTTAGTTATTAACCGCGCTGGCTTAAAATGAACGGTAGTAGTACCAAATGGTCAAGACATTATAAAAAAGATTCTCGATTTGTTACAGATTTGTACACATTTACTTATGATAATGATTTAACATCAGTGAGTTTGTTGATTATTAATTGATGTGTGAATAACTCATAGTTATAAATTATTAATAACAAGTTAAATATTGGTATTTGATTTGAATTTAAAGTCAAATAATTTTATGTATCCGTTATTCATAATTATATCAATTGAATATTAGTATTCAATTAGAGTTTTATTCGCACACTCATATCATTAAAGATTACCTTTACTGATAAATAAACTAAAATGAATACAACGTATTAATTTTTATTCTGTCGATGACTAGTTTGAGGAAGAGCTGCCCCAACACGTTGAAAAAAATCTACCGTTCGATGAAATTATTGATAATATTATAACAGAACATAATTTAAATACAAATTATATAAATAAAGAAGATGTGATTGCGCGTTTTGATCGCGTAATACGGGGGGAAATTAGTGATTCAGAGGTACTCTTCATGATATTTGGAAAATCTTAAGTGAAATAAAAAATAAATGATAAAATTTTCCAATTTTCCAGCGTCGAAATGATCGAGAAGAAATTAGAAAAAGGCTTGCCATGGGCTCAGATGCAGATGACGTTCGATTGGAGCATGGACGAAAACCTAGTCTTCAATCGCGACTTCAAAGTGGTAATTTATACAAACATTTTACAACTATTTTTAACATAATTAATTAACATAACTTTTTTTTTTTTATACAGGGATGAACTTACAAATTTGCTTCATGAATGAGACACCTTCAGATAGTGAATCGCCTAGTTCAGAAGATATATCACCAAGTATAAAACAAGCTTCAAGTTTTTACAAACATAATAGTACCGCTGCTAGACCTCAAGTTTTGAGTCTTCCACCATTGAGACTTAATACCGATATTCTTGATGCACCTCTTGATGAGGCTGATTTCTTTGCTCGTCAAGCAAGACTTCAAACTGAAGCAAGAATGGCCCTTGCTCAAGCAAAAGAAATGGCCCATATGCAAATGGAAGTTGAAAGACAAAGACTCACACAAAGTCCAATCACGGAAATAGTACGCTCAAGTCTTGAGAAGGTTCATATTTATTATAAAAATTAAATTTAACCGGTTTTTAGTAATTAAATCAATAAAATAAACTTTATAACTCCTGTAATTAGGTCGGCGTTCAATTAGGCGAAGATAGACGTCGGTTGTCTAGAGTCCTTTTAACTGAATTAAACGTTGCTCAACTTCAAGTAGTTGCAAATGACCTTCATTCAAGAATTGCGGTTCTAAACGAGGTACTTGTTGAAGGATTACTTAGACGAGATGATCTACATATGGAACAAGACTCAATGCTAGTAGATGTTGAAGATCTAACTCGATATCTGTAAGTATTGCATGATTATTACATTTCCGTTAGCGAGCACTATCAAAAAATATCAAAAATGCTACGCTTACATCACACTCATATTACCTATTATTATAAGACTTTATTGATACACGCCACGCTGTTTTCTTTATTGCTATTCTCCACTCCCTCTCCGTCTCTCAGTAATAAGTAGACGACGGATTTGTGAGGTGAGCATTTTTGTTTGCATAGTGGTGCCAAGCAAGAATCGCTCAAGAAGCGACAGGCAAACAGCAAAAAACAAGCAACACCGGGAAATAAACGGACCAGTCAACTACACTCAATGATGATGATCCCAATAATAAAAACTAAATTGAATGGTCGAAGTTTCGTTGAATTTGTTAAAAAGTAAAATATTAAACTGAGAATTATTTAATTATTAATCCGTTAAATAATTCCTTATATTATTCAATGTTTGATGTCACACAATGGACTTTTCATAATGCGAAATATCTAAAGATTTGAGATGAAATGACATGAATTAAAAAAAAAAAAATATAGCTTAATGATTTTTCACAATATCCAAAATTTTTACAGCTTTATCACTCAATAATAAGTATTTAATTACTATAATTAATTAAATTTATCTATCTAAAGATCTATTTATGTATATATATATATATATATATATATATATATGAGTGGTACTATTAACTCACGCAATTACTCCCGATGTTTCTCCATCATAAAATTTTTGTCAAATATATTCCACTTAAAAAATATTGAAATAGCAAAAATAGATCTTTATAATGTTGTTGTATATAACATTCATTTTAGCTTGAAGAAAGCGATTATTTACTGATTGCATATAAAATTTTCCTAGTAATTGTATGATCACTGAGTAGTTGAAACAATAAAATAAAATGAGTATCTGCCAAAAATTTTTAATTAATTTAGCAACTATATACGAGTCAAAATTGGAAATAAATAAACTTATGTATTATCTACAAAATAGTTTTAATCGCAATAATAATTAATATTATACAGATTGTAAATAACTTAACAATAATAATATAATAATAATAAAATATCGTATAACAACTTTTTTTCACATGATTATTTTTTTTTCTTTTATTCCCTTTCCACTTTAATTATAAGTAACAATAATTAATTATTGTTTATTTATACGATTGACGATCAAAAATCTTGGAGAGAAAAAGGCACAAGGCAGTTATTTTATTTTCAAAGGTACGCTTAATTATAAATTTTAAAATATCGTACCATTTACATGCAATATAAATACAGCACCAACTCTGAAAAGAAACCCAAATTAAGTAATTTCAATTCTCAATACAAAAAAATACCATTGACATATTAATACTCGCTTTTTTTTTGTATAATTATTTTAATTAATTTACATGTAAATGCTTCGATTTTTCAATTGTTTAAATCAATTTTATTTCAATATCATAATTGAAACAACGATTAGAAAAATGTATCAAATTCCTAAGATATTATAAGTTATTATATAATTATACAATAAAAACATAGATTCACGATTATAAAAAAAAAATTTTTAGAATCGTGTAATCTATCAAATTATTTTTTCTGCATATTATAGATTACATACAAAAGTAATAATACTATACGATCCATTTATTGTTACTTAGTAGTATAATAACGACTATGAATATTAATCATTATTCCTGATATTTACATTGAATCAAAAATAAAAAATTAAAGTAGCAAAATTTTATTCATGACAAAGTCGTTGATAAATTGAATTAATAAAATTGACATTGTTGGCAAGGGCATGTCTATAGATATTAGCGTAGTTTAATTGATCTACCGGCTTACAAATATTTAAATGGCAAATATTCAACGATTTATACATATAAATATTATTATAAGGCTGCCTTAAATTTTTTATAATGTTTTTACAAATATAACTTTTGTTAAGTTATTTATGTCAGATTGTCTGATTGCTCAGTCAGAAAAATAATAATGAGGCATGATTAACATAGATTATTGGTCCTATTAAAAATAGCCAGAGATCACAAATGACGATAATAATTAATAAAAATATTATGAAGATCATTTGCCCATACTCGCATTGGCTGGTAGCGTTGCTGATCTCTGTTGAATAGATAAATATGGCTTCAAGGTAGATCTTGTAGACTCTCTAAAATCACAATATCATAAAGTGTATTAGTAAAAACTATTAAAAAAAAAAAAAAAAAATTAGTCATTAAAAATGCCAAGCTTTAAACTTATGCAAATTCCAAAGCAACAATTATAATAATAAAGAAAAAAAAAAAAAAAACAATTTCATATAACAGTTTATAATCATGCAGTTTACTAACCTGTTTAATCATTGAATAATGAAACTTAAAATAGATTTTATCAGCAACGAATATAAATGTTAATTGCATAAGGTAATAAAAAAATTTTGAAAACAAAACAATAAGCTCTAATACCTCCATATACCCAACCATGCGACGCCACAACACAAGAGCTACCAAATTTCCCTGTAGTTGTTTATCCTATTACGCTACCTTGGAGATACACGTTGTCCAGTGCCATCGATATGGGAATTGGCCTTATATCCACATTTTTGTATGCGTCTTGACAAACGTGTTACCCAATACTTTTGGTCGTCTGGGCTACCAGCAAGTAAAAGTAACTCTCGAGCACTCGTAGGATCATAATGAAGTTTACAGGGCGCTATAGCGTCTTCTTTTTTATCCAAGTGTTCTTTATGTACTTTAATATGACATCCTATGAAATAGAAAAAAAAAAATAATTATTATTATTATTATTATTATTATTATTATATAAAAACAATCAACTAAAATCGACAGCCAAATATATATTTATACAAAAATAATGATATAAAAGTTATTACTTCGACATTCTAACGCAGGTGGTGGTCTAAACATGTGCCATAGTTGTTTCGAACATACTTCGCAAGTTGTAGGCATATGATAAGAAATTGAAATAAATTCGTGGCCCTTAATAACTGGTTGCATACCAGGTTTATCAACTAATTGAGTTAGTTCTGGAACTGGCAGTGCGTTACCTTCGTCACCAGGACGTCTTGCTTCGCCTTCACCCGCATAAAGTAACTAAAAATAGAATTAATAGATAAATAATACTCTCAATTGAGGAATAACAATATTATAAATTCTCAAGTGGATTACAAAAATCAATATACCTGAAATATCCTAGGAATATCTTTGGCGTCTGCTCTAATAACATCTCCCTGAGTTACAGATCTTACATGAAAAACTTTACTTAAATCCAATATCAATACTGGATCAGCATTAATCTTTTCATGTTCACTATTATAAAAAATAATTTTTTTTGATGACACAACAACATATTGTTTTTTCCACCCATGTCTTTTAATATTTTGTTTGTTCGGCACATTTAACCAGCCTTCAAGTCTCATGGCACCATGTTCTGGAAGAACTGAATCATCACCGTCATTTTCAATTGACGATACACTTGCAGTCTCCGAATTCATTGAAGATATTTTCATTTGTAGTGTTTCTATTTCAGAATCTTTTGAATCCAATTCCATTTGCAGTCGGAGTTTTGCTTGATTTTCTTCAACAAGTTGTGCCTAAAATGAAATAAAAACAAATATATATATACATATTATAAGGATGATAAAAAAATGTATTTTATATGTATGTGTAACTTACTTGTAAATCTTGTAAATCCTTTTGCCATTTAGCTGCCAACTGTCCATACTTTTCTCGTTCTTGCGTAAGCTCTTGTTGCAATCGTCTACAATCTTTTTCTTTTTTCCTAAGGTCAGCAGAAGATGGTTTATTTTTAGTTTTTCCACCAGCAGAAAAATCTTTTCTAACAACAATCTGCTCCAATTTATTGATAGCTTGTTCTTTCAACAATGTTTCTGTTTTCAATTTACTACTAAGCCTGTCAATTTCTTCAGCATTTGATTGAGATTTAACAAGTTGATCTTGTATTTCTTTGATTCGTTTTGCAGCATCATCTTTTTCTTTAGCATATTGTTCAATAGTTTTTTTCAGTTCAACCTCGCTATCCTTTAAACGATTCATCATTTGGTCTTTTGTAGTAATTTCATGATGATGTTTAACTAAACTATCTTTATATTCTAATTCTTTCATTGTTCTTTCTTTCTCTAAATCGGCAACAGTTTCTTCAGCAATTGATCTTGCTAAAGCTTCACTATCACCTCGTGCTAATGACAACTGTAATTGATGTACTAATGAACTACGTTCTTCTTCCAATTCTTGTTGAAGTCTAGTTTTTTCATCCAATTCTTCTCGAAGTTCTTGAGTCTGCGTTTTGTACAATGTCTGTCAATAAATTAATTTATCTTAGAAAGGTTTGATTTAATTTATTTAATAATAATAATAATAAATAAATAATATTCAATAGTTAATACTTACAGAAAAATAAGCTTCAGCTTCTAATTGTTCTTGAAGTTCTTTTGTTTGTAACATATCAACATTACGTTGAGTTTTAAGATTATTTAGTTCTTCATCAATTTGTCGTTTGGCTTCACGTAACTGGCTTACTTCATTTACCAACTGTTGTTCACGTGCACGTAATCTTCCAGCATCCGACGATTGTTGAGCTAAATCTGATTGAAGTAAATTTCGTTTTTGTTGTTCTTGTTCAACTTGTCCTTGAAGTGCCTTAACTTTTTCCACTTCTTGCCTGTGTTCACCTTCTAATTTTTGTAATCGTTGTTGTATTTGTCGATAGTCCACAGACAGCATCGATGTTTGACGTTCTTTTTCTTGAGCAAGTAATTCAGCTCGTTGTCTTCCACTTTTTTCTTCACTTAGCTTGACTTGTAGAGCTGGCAATGAAATAAACAATAAATTCATAACAATACTCTTTTTGTTTTTTTTTTTTTTTTTTCTGTTTTCCGTTAATGCATTTAAATTTTGATAATATCTACATACTTAACAATAAAAGTTATGACAATGACCAGCAGTAATGATGGAAAAAAAATTAATTATTAATTTTTGAAGTATTTGTGAATCATTAAATTAGTATTAAGATTAATATACATTTAAAATTTTTACCTTTAATTACGCAATTCATACGTCCTGTCGCATGCAATAAAATTAACTTACATTACAAAAACTATTAGTTATTGAAATGGAAAAAAAAAAAAAAAACTATAATTTACCTTTAACAACTTCCATGTTAGCTTCTTCTTTTGACAACATTCTCGATCTCTCAGTTTCTTGATGAGCTAAAACTTCTTGATTGTACCTTGCCTGAGCAGCTTTAAGCTCTAGAGTTAAGCTCGCTGTTTCTTTCTCTAATGCTGAAACTCTTTCATTAAGTTGTCTATTATCCGCCATCGCTTTTTCTTCTTTATCTCGACTTCTTTCTAACTCAACGTATAAAGAAGCTAGCCGTGTTTCAAGTTCAGCAGTTAAAGTTGATGCTTGAGTTCGGGAACTTCGTTCTTTGGACAATTGACCTTGCAAGCTCGCAACTTCTTGTTGTAAAGAATCTGTTTGTGCTTGTAATTGAGCTCTTGCTGCTTGTAATTCATTAGCCATTTGTTTGGCAGTTTGTTTTGCAACTGTAACTTCTGTTGCTTGTTTTCGCATTCTTGTTGCTGATTCTGTTTCTCTCTCTAATTTACTTTGCATTTCTTTTATTTGTTTTTCTAGCGTTAAAACTCGTTCAGATGTCTGTTGAGAGGTCGATGCATCTCGGGCTCTTTTGCTTTGTTCTTCATCAAATTTTTTTTTCAAATCCGCCAACATACCTTCAGCTTTTCTTCGTGCTTCAGTTTCATGTTCGATACGACGTTGTACTTCTTTATAATTATGTCGAAGAATAGTTAAGTCCTTATCAGCTCTACCGGCTTCTTCTCTTAGTTCTGATTCTCTTTGTGTTATTGCTTCTAATTGGGCAGTAAGAGCGCAATGTCGTGCTTCCATTACTTCAACTTGTCTTTTTTCTCTTTCTAATAAATTCTCCAATTGTGTTATTTTTATTTCATCTGTTATACCATTATTCATATGATTTTCAAGACCGTCAACAGACTCTTTGCCTGGTGAAACAAGGAGCTGATAATCACCAGAGTAAGTAAATCCTATAAATGGTAAATGATTTCCGGAAAAAGCTTTTGGTACAGGAAAACTTTCTTCAGGAGTATCTTCCTTGTCAACATCTTCAAAATTACTTGTATCATCATCACCTGAAAGCTCGGGTACAACAGGAGGAACACATTCTCGTAAATTGTCAAATGTCCATTGATCGTTTTTGAAAAATGGGTGACTTTTTATTTCTTCTACTCCGTTTCTTCCTAAACGATTAGTACGATCAGTAAGAAATCCACATATAATACTCTTTGCTGATTTAGATATATCTATCTCTTGGGGAAAGTGAAGTGAATTGCGATGATCCATTATTTTTGAATATGTTCCAACGAGAGAATCTGCGTAAAAAGGGGGATCACCAACCAACATTTCATAAAGAAATACACCAACGGACCACCAATCACATTCTCGACCATATACACCTTCACCTCCCTGAGATTGAAGTACTTCTGGAGATATATAATCTGGTGTTCCAACTGCAGTATCTGACCTTACTAAGCCATCCTGAATAATAATATTTAATAGTTTATTTATTTTCAAATTTTTATAATTTAGGTGTTATAATGTAATAAAAAAAAAAAAAAAAAAAATAATATTGCTTTTCTTACCTCATCCATTCTCATGCAAGTACCAAAGTCTGCTAATTTAAGATGTCCATATTTATCAAGCAACATGTTGTCTGGTTTGACATCTCTGTGCACAAATCCCATTAAATGTATGGCGTCTAATGCCAATACAACTTCAGCACAGTAAAATTTTGCCCATTTTTCCGGTACATCGTAACTAGACATTAAATTAACTAAATCACCACCTGGCATATAGTCCATTACCATATAAAGATATTTATGATCTTGAAAAGCAAAATGCAACTGTACAATCCATTGTGAATTGGCGTGTGCCATAATATCCCTTTCCTCCCAGAAAAAAGCTGAATCCGATCGTTTGATCTAGTAATTATATTAATTATACATTAATCATACTTACTATTATACAATAATAAATTTTTATTGTTATTTTTATAATTACCATTTCAAATTTACTAAGTAGTTTCATGGCATAAACTTTTTGAGTTGAATTATGTCTAACTAGTTGCACCTCACCAAATGCTCCACGACCAATAACTTTGATAAGAGTAAAGTCATCCGTACGCATTCGCATTTTATTTATTTCTCGTGCTACGTCATCATCTATAATGAAAAATGAGAAAGAAAATAATAAATTAGTATAAATTTTTAAAATGAGTCTTTTTTTTTTTTTTTTTTTTTTCTTCATATTTTATACTATCAAACAAAATAAAGCTTAAAATAAAATAACTCATCAATTTGAATAAAAATTTAATTGAAGGCAGTATCACAATACATAATCAAATTACTATAAGCCATATTAATTTAAAAGCTATAACTAAACATAATTTCAATTAGCTTGTTAGGGGTCTTTATATTTAAGCATTTTCATTTAGAAATCTGAATATTAATATTAAATTTTATATTTTAATAAATTTGTGGATAAGCTTAAAAAAAAAACAACTATATTTAAATTCAATAATGTTGACATAATTTTTTGGAGCAATTATTTAAAAACTTATAATGATAAGAACAATAACAACAATAATAATAAATTAGCTTTATTGCTTTATTGCTTCCTATAACCTCCTATTTAAAAAATTACAAAAAGATGTTGAAAAGAGACCAAAAATTTTTTTGGAGTATAAAATTTTAACAGATGTTAACTTTAAATATAAATAAGAAACAGATAAAATTGTAATAATTTCAATGATGGTAAAAACTAAAAATCATTTTTTTTTTTTTTCAATAAAATGAAAATGTATATATTTGCAAAAATTATAAATTCAATAATAATTAAAAAAAATTATTCACTCACATCTATTCATATAAGCCTCAATATTTTTCATGCGTTTAACACTCGGATGATCGCAGTCAGCAACAAGAGCCTGAACAGTGTCTAAAAGACAATCAATGTTGGAAATACTTCTTGGATCTTTAATTTTCTCTTCTAAAGTTCTCAGGCGTCTTCGCCGATCTTCGTCACGTATCACTTCCATTTTAAAGTACTTGATAACTAATTCAGTTACTCAAATATTGTCCTGTATCGTTCATTAAATAATGTATATATGTAGTCTTGAAAAAATTATGTGCAGCAGAATAATGAAAATTTGGCATCCATAACAAGTGCAGCGAGGTCCATTGTTTCTTAAAGAAAATTTATAATATTAATATTAATAGGAATAATGATAGTTATAATTTTGAATAATACTACGAACTATATTTATATTGTAATAAAAATAGTTTATATGTAATTTATTAATTGACATATCGTTGAATCTTGATAGTGATTCCATAGAGTTAGGTGGGTATCATTGATAGGTATATGAAAAATCCATAAATAAAATAGTTTATGTTTAATTTTACTTATTAAATTTAATTTTTAATCATTAAATGGAAAAAAATAAACAACATACCTAGTAAGATCAAAATATTATCACTTGGTTAGCTAATCAAAAGCACAGTAAAATGCATTATAACTCGGCATAAATTTGCCTTTATGACTACACCAGACTACACACAGCTGAGCCGTGTATCGAGAAATGTACCACTGTCATCAAATTCATACTAAACTATACATTATTTTTCTTTTCAGTTACAAAACATTTACATTATTTTAAATTTTTGTTAAAAAAATAAATATATAAACATTATTATTTGTTTAATAAAAGTTATAAATTTAAATTATTAATTGTAAGATAAAACAATAATTAACGTAATGAAGTAAATTTTATTACCATAATTAAAAAAATTTTTGAATATTAATCTAAATACACGTAAAAATTTTTTGATATAATGTAGTGCGAAACTATATTAAAATTTTCAACTCTGATTTATATTCAGCACAATTACTTATTAATTTTCATAATCTATGTTTTAGTAGTAAATATAAATAACGGATTCTTTTAATGTTATAAAAAAATGTTATAATATATTGTTCAATAATTTACGATTATTTTTTTTTTTATAAGAATTAAAATAATTATTAGAGAAAAAACGTCAACGAAACCGGAAAAAACTTGGTACGGAAATAAAAAAGCCCTGTCTCTGCCCTCTATCTAGTGCAATTTAGTGTAAGAGCAATAATACAAGATGGCGCAAAGAGGAGTTAATAGAAATTTTGTACGCGGGTCGTTAAAAAAAAAAATTTAGTGAATAATTATTTTATTTAATCGACTATTGTAATTATTAATTTTATTTTTACTTCAATAAATAATAATAATATTAAATACTTTTTAGAATACAATAAAAAAAAAAAAAGCAATTTATTCAATAAAGTATGTTCGTAAATATAAATCAGTAGTAGGGATGTTATGAAAATAACATTAAAAAAATCTATTATTATTTGTCTTGATATTTTATCTAAACTTACGTATTTCAAGATAATAATAAACATCTTTATACGCAGTCTAAAAAAAAGTCATCTGTAAGTATTATTATTAGAAATTAATTTTAAATTTATGTGAGTTTGATAAACTATAAATATAATTGAATGTTTAAGTAAATACTTGTATGTTATACCATACAGATATTCATATATACATATATATTTATATATTAAATAAAATGGGTCCACCGTGTGATTGGCAAATATCAAAACAAAAAATAGCCCAACGAGGACGTTATCTCTTAGAGTCTGGACAATGGTCAGATTGTAAATTTATTGTAGGTCAAGAACCACAACAACAAATCCTTGAAGGGCATAAATTATTTTTAGCAATGTCTAGTCCTGTATTTGAAGCAATGTTTTACGGTAGCATGGCAGAAAAAACAGATCCAATTCCTATTCGTGATGTCCAACCAGAGGCATTTAAAACACTATTAGAATACATTTACACGGATAAAGTTGATTTAGGGTCATTTGAACTGGCATGCGAACTCTGTTACTGTGCTAAAAAATATATGTTACCGTTTTTGGTTGAAGAATGCACTAAATATTTATGGTCTGATTTATCCCCAAATAAAGCATGTAGAGCTTATGAATTTGCAAAATTGTTTGAAGAACCAGTATTAATGGATAAATGCTTACAAATAATTTGTACAAAAACTAATGAAATTTTAAATGAACCAAGTTGGGATGAAGTTGAACTTAGCACAATTATGACCATCTTCGAACAGGATGAATTACAAATAGATTCAGAAATAGAATTATTTGTTGCTATTGAACGATGGGCAAAAGCTGAGTGTAATCGTAAATCATTGAATCCATCAGATGCTAAATCTTCAAGATCAGTTATTGGTAATGTTTTATCTAAAATACGATTTTTAACTCTAACTCCACAACAATTTGCTGATGTTCCTGGTAGATCAAATCTTTTATCTCGTGATGAAGCATTTTCAATACTTATGAACGTATCATCCAGCGGAAGTAACATTCCTATGCCAGAAGGATTTTCAACCAATCCATTGCATAGAATAAAACCTCGAAGACCTACTGGTCTAAGTAATGGACGAAGTCAGGTAAATTTTACTTTATTAATATAATAATACATATTTTTTGTTTTTAATGTTTATATACTATTTTACTTTTTTTTTATATATAGAAATACAATGGAGTGATAGGTCGGCACGCTAGTCCAGCAGGCTTATCAAATCATTGGCAGATATTTCCGTCCACATCATATAGTCATACATCTCTAATAAATTCAGATACTGACCGTACTGACATTGACAGTTCATGGTTATCATATCCTACTACTATTGATTTTAATGGAAGAAAAGAAAATGGAAGTTCAACTGCAAATGATAATATTCCTACAGTACTAGTTGAAGGCGGAATCCGAGATGGCCCTAAATATTATTGTTTGCGATCTATGGGACAACAAGCAGAGTATTTAAATCCTGGAGTGATGGATTGTTCTGTAACATTTAGTGTTGATAAAAATATTTGTGTTATAGGCGTTCAAGTTCCCACACAAGTTGCTTGTGAGGTAGATAATATTATTTGCATCATGATATATTTGTATATAACTAGTACATTTTTGTCCAACTAAATAAATTTTTCTTATTTATTATTTTAATTTATGATTAATAGGCTAACCAAATGATGCGATCTGCTGATGGAACTTATACAGAAATTCTATATGCTCATTTACTTGATTCTGACGGCTCTCGATTAACTTACACACACTTTACCACAAAAGCTACTGCTGGTACATTAGTTGAAATTGGATTTAATAGGCCCGTGTATATCCAAAAAAATAAGGTGAGTTAATTTTTTTTGATGAAGGATAATATTTATTATTTAAGTGAATCATACTTGATGAATGAAAAATTATTAATTTATAATGGTTAATAACAATAGATTTATCGCGTTGGAGTTGTCTTCAATAAACCTGGATGGTATCCAATAGGAGATTGTGTTCAAAGAATGACGTGTGATACTGTATTCTTCTCTTTTGGCGTTGGCAATAGTACAGATAGCATCAGAGATGGTTTGATTCGATCTATTGTTTTTACTTACCATCAATAAATTTTGACGGAAATTAAATTGTAAAGTTGAGTATTTTTTAACAATTGTGTTATATATATTTACAAAATATGCCTTTTTTTATCTCGAATAATAATTTACGAATCAGATATTCTAGGCAATTTTTATTTAAAGTAAATGGACTGTACATTGAAAAATGACTTTTGAAAATAATGTAAATTATGATGTACAAATTAATTAGTCCTAATTATTTAAAAAAAAACGTCCGTAATTTGTTAAATAAAAATTATTATTTATCGAATGGTACAAAAAAAAAAAAATATATTTACACCATAAAATTATTTAAGTCAAAAAAGTTGATGATTAAAAGAAATATTTTATTTTTGATTTTTAATGTATATTTTAATTTTGTTATAATTCATTTATATTTGTGTATACTAAAATTTTAATTTTTAAAAATATTCGAAAATTAAAACAAATTTATATATTTTATCAAAAAGATTGTTTTTACTAAAAAGTAAATAATAAGTGAAAAATATTTTGACGTACAAAAAATATTAATATTGTTTTTCAAAATTGAATCAATTTTATTATTAATTTATAATTAGTAAAAAAAATACATATAATCATAAATCTTTCAATATTATAAATAAATCTATAAATAATATCTTTATTATATATATATATAAATATATAATTTATGTACATAACTTTATGAGTGCACAACTTTAGGAAAACTGATATAATATGATTTGTTAAAATAGAATTATTATAATTTATAAATGTATAAAAATATTACAAAAATATTGATCTTATAAAAAATTTTAATAAACTCCTATACTAAGTGAATATTACGTAGCTTTTGAAAACGTAATTTTTTGTGAGTACTTATTGTATATTAATTGTGAGTATTTTCTTTTGTCATAATTTATGCACAATAAAATCCCAGGTTTCACTCCATCTCAGTTTCATTAAATCTTTAGCTGTTAACGGTGTCATCCCATAACTCAATATTGCAAACTTTTGAAATACAAAAATAATTAATGCTAACCATAATATAATAATAATCAGTCTTATACATAATACTAAAGTATTCGATTGATAGTACCAGCTGAAATAGATTAAAATAAATTATTTTAATAAAATTTTTAATTAATTATTTTTTTCAACTTTACCTTATTAAATAATATAGATGATCAATAACTGCAGCAGTAAGTAGTATTTTAAAAGCTAAAGCTGGTAAATAATTATGTAAAAACAGTGTACGTTCTACGAAAAAAAATGGAATAAAGTGAAGAATGTAACCAGCAAATAGAACTTGACCAATGAGAATTACTCGATCCCATTCAGTATCAGGTATATCATAATAACACCTTTTTCGTCGAGTTAAATAAATTATTAAAAGTATAGAATAAATAACAACTCCGATTGTTCCTGAATACCAAACAGCTATATTTCCTAACAAATGTACTTGTGCCTGAGAAAAAAAAAAAAAAAAAAAAAAAAAAAAATTGTAGCTTGAAAATAAAAATTATTTGAGCTAGAAATTTATAACAAAAACAATAACTTACATTACTATCACTAGCTACCCAGTAGGCAATACCTCTTGTTAATAATGGCCATTCTAATGGCCCACTTGAATACATATGGCTAGTTTGACTTTCTTGCCCATGGAATAACATTTTTATTTGTAATTCAATAAATTTTTGCCAAAATGAAAGACGAGTAGCTTTAAGTGGTATCATTTCTGCATTTATTAATTCACGTTCTCTCTGTTTTTGATCTTCACTTTTAGTGTATCGATGCTCTTCAACATTCCAAACAGCATCCTCTTGCTCAATAATTTTATCAGCGACAACTTCGTGTTGATTAAAACCCCAGTCAGCTAATTGTCTTCCACTAAATTTTAATGCATACTCAGTACCAACATGAATCAAACGCACTTGACTTTGAATGGCATACCAAATATCGTTAGTTTGTTCACGATTTATTATTTCAATCCTCCATAAATTTTGTGCCGGCATTGAAACATTATAATCAATATAGCAAGAGACTTCTTGACTCTGTGGCGTCATTGCAGCAGCAACATCATGAGAATTGAGAGCTCTACTAGTAATACCATGAACTAATTGGACAACTTCACCGTGTTTTAATGGAACAATAGGTCTTGTTACTACTAAATCATTTAGTTCCGGTCGTTTTACAATCCACCAATTATTAACGTCTTTAAAAGAATAACAAGTAACCTGTTGTTGATGAGAGCTTCCTCGTCCATCTGGATATCGTAATGGATATAAATGATTATGACTATGGAGCCAACAAGCACGACCAAATGTATGTCGTAAAGTTATTTGACTTCCATGTGTAACTTCAGTAGGCTGACCTTTAGTAATACTTGCTAATCCACCCTCTAAACTCGCTTGAAATGCACTAGTCATCACGGCATCATGTGGTCCTGCTTTCGTAAGAACCGAAAGATGAATATAAAATACTCCTAAATAAACTGAACTAAATGACAGTATAATTACAAGTACTCTTGCGATAAAGTGACCCCATAATACTGAATTTGAAAGAGTCTTTTTGCTTAAAAGTTTCCAATAATCACGGGTAATAATAAATATTCCAAGCATTAAAGAATAAAATCCTACGTACTTAACACAAATAGCACATGTCAAAGAAACAATTCCAAGGGTTAGCCAAACCCACCAAGCTAATATCTGTGGTTTGTCCATTACTTTGTGAAATTTCATTATGCAAAATAGCCCAAATAATGAAAATTGTACAAGTATACTTTCCATTAATATGAAACGTGATTGAGTTAGAAATGCATTGTCAAGAAGGAACATTATTCCAGCAATCAATGCACTCCATGGTTTCAATCCTAATTCAATAGCTAAATGATAAGCCGTTGGTAATATAAGACTTCCGAATAATGCAGGTACAACTCTTAATGCGAATAAAGGCACATTTTCTGGATATGGGCTTCCAATTCGATCAAATTTAAATTCTCCATCAAATCCTGACAAATACGCTGCTGCTGATATCAATTGCTTTCCTAATGGTGGATGAGAATCGAAAAAAAAAATTCTTTTCATATAGAGACCAACGTATTTTCCAAAATGAAGCTCATCAAATCTGAAAAAAAAAAAAAAAAATGAATAAATAATGAATATTTAAATAAGAAATGTATGTGAATATTTTCAATTTTAATTTTCACTCGTATTTTACTTACACGATACTTTTAGGTTCTTCTAATTTATAAAGTCTAGTTAAAATACCAGCAACAAATAGGAACACAGCTATCACATCGAATTCTAAACTGATAAACATTCTTTTTGATGGATTTGATATTTCATGCAACATTCGTTCATCGATTTTAAAATTTTCTGAAATTTGTTTAAATAACAACGTTTCTTTGTCGTTCTGTAATTAAATAATTAATTTTAATAAAATTATAAATTATATTGTAAAATATATATATATTTATGTATACGCGTTATTTTTACTTCATTTGTTTGATTTTTTCCACTGCAACTTTCAATTTTAGATTCTTGATCATCAAAATTTGTGGTTTCACGTAAAATTTTTCCATTACTTTTAGATTTTCTATTTCGTACTTCCATCGTATTAACAATTCAATATGTGTAAAATAAAATACTCAATACACTACATAAAATTTTAATCTCAACTTCTTGAATTCCGAGTGAAAATAACTATATAACGGATCGCAGCTTCGTTAGACGAATGAAAAGAACAGTTATTTTATCCAGGTATAATATACCATGATGATCACGATTAATTTTTACTTAGCCACATTTTTATGAGTAAATAAAAGTTCAGCTAGAAATGTCACCGGAGAATTGTCTGATAATCTATTGAAAAAGAAAATAAATTTATTAATTATTTCATACTTGAGTTTTTGTACTGTCATTTTACTCATAAAAATATATTATTTTTTTTTTTTTATTTACATCCTTACCTGCATGAGTGTATATATCAGCCTTTCCCCATTCTACAAGTTCCATTAGGCTACATTATGTGCTGTGTGTATATAAACACCTACACACATATAGCACTACCACTTCCTTATCTTCAGTTTGTCCGCGCTGGTCCGCACCATATGCCACCATCTCGTTTTAGTTATTGGTTGTTATTGGTATATGCGGGTGTAAGCGGGTGTTTATTCCTTTTATATTGGTCTTTTATTTATATGGTACATTATACTAAGTGCTAAATAGAATGATTAATACCGGTAGGCTGTAATAACAGTCAATATACTTGTTAGAGTTTTAAAACTGTAATTTTAAATAGTACTGATGGATTTTTAAGGGTTAGTTCAACCTTTAAACTTGATAATTACTTATACATCGGAGTGACCTTTGTTCACATCAATGTTTACTAACTCAAATCATCTTTAGATATTATAAATATATAAATATTTGTTTTAAAATGTACAATTATTATATAAAGGTTATTGTAAATATTTTATTAGTTCATTTTATTATTGTGGAATACGTAAATACAACAGCCATTAACAAAAATGATCCATATGATAGTTATATAAGTGAAGATGGGTTATACGACTCTAATGATAATGTTATCATTTTAAATGTGACTACGTTGAAAAATTCAATTTATGAGAGCAAAAAAGCTTGGGTGGTAGAATTTTATAATAGTTGGTGTGGTCATTGTCGAAGATTTGCTCCGTTATGGAAATCTCTGGCTAGTAAAATTGTTGGTACGTTTTATTTTTTTCTTTTTTATTTTTTTATTGTTTCTGATAATCAAATCAGACGTGGACTGTATAAACTTAAATTACGACAAAAAGTTTAATTCGTGACTTTTTTTAAAATTTATAACAAAAAAAAAGTTTTCAGCATTTCTTAGATATTTTAATTTGAAAACAATGCATGTTACTACACTAAAGATAAAATACTCATCAATTAAATTATTATGAACATTTATATTATAAAATTTTTATTTCATGATTATTAATTAAAATTATAATTACTTTTTAGGATGGAAAGATATAATTGAAATTGCAGCTATAAATTGTGCCAATGATGATAATAATCCAATTTGTAGAGAATTCAAAGTTATGTATTATCCAGCTATACGATATTTTTCTCCAAACACCAAACATGACTCAATTGGTGATGATGTAGAAAAAGGTGAAACCGAAGAGACAATGCGTCATAATTGTCTTAAACATTTACAAAAAGACCAAATTGATGGATTAGGTCTTTCATGGCCAAATATTACACCATATAGGTTTGAGTTTATTCAATAATTATTAATTATTAATTATCAATACGTATTACGATGTTACTTTGAGTTATTTTTTAGGAATTCTGAGCTACAAGATATATGGACAGGAGTTTCTAAGACGATTCAATATAAATTTTATTTATTTGAAGAGAACAATTCATTTTTAGGAACTGAGATCATATTAGACTTGCATAATATTACGAGTATCCAAATACGCCGAATAACGTCAGATAATCAATGGCTTTGTTTGATGTTTAAAGTAACTAATTTTCCAGCTCTGATTGTTTACGACCGCCAGTCTACAAAAAATTCGTTAAAAATATCAGTTCCTACAAGAACTGGTGTATCAAATGTAATCAAAGACTTTTTAAAATCTAAAGGATTAATAATAGATCTTAAGCCGATTAATAGTACACAAATACAAACTAAAAACGAAATTCAAAAAACTAATCAAACACATGGTTCAATCAAGTTGAATGGAGATTATCTTTATCGATCGGATTTAGAATCTGCATTACGTTATTCTTTAGAACAAGAAATCTCATTAGTTCCAACAATCGAAAATGGAAAAATGGAGTCATTGAAAGAATTTTTAAGAGTTTTGGCTCTTTATTTTCCTTTTAAACATGATAATTCTGGGTATTTATCACAAATACGAGATATTATTGAAAACAAAACAACGATCGATGGCAAAGACTTTAGAGAATTAATAAAATCAACAGAAAAAAAATTATCGCAAGTTTACAAATCTAAACAACAGTGGATTGGCTGTAAAGGTAGTACCTCTACACTACGCGGATATCCTTGTGGTCTTTGGCTCCTGTGGCATACACTTACCGTTAATTATGCTATAGACACTGAAAAAAGTACTTCGGTTGATAAGCCCCAATGGATATTGTCAACAATGCTTGGTTACATAAAAAACTTTTTTGGCTGTTCTGATTGCGCTGATCATTTTACGAGTATGGCACAAGAATATAAATTATTTGATGTTAAGACTCCAAATGAAGCTGTTTTGTGGCTTTGGAAAGCACATAATAAAGTAAATTCAAGACTTGCTGGTGATTTTACGGAAGACCCAGAATTTCCAAAAATCCAGTATCCTTCAAAAGAAAATTGTCATGAATGTAAAAATGAAGATGGTTCGTGGAATGAAGTCAAAGTTTTACAATATTTAAAACGAAAATATTCATATTCCAGTATTCAATATAATAATTCAGATGTTTTACAATTACCATTACGTCTTGATGGGAATGAGTTCCTCCATGACAAAAACGTAACTGATCAACAAAAAATTGGGTGGGATTTTACAGTTTTTGATATCAGTATTTGTGTTATTGTTTACGTTATTTCGGCGACAATGCTTGTGCTCGTGTGTATAAAGTTTGTTGTTAAGCGTTCTTCCAAGAAAAAAGCACAGATACAAAATTTATTTGGACGAGTATAAATGTGATAAGAAAACTATAATTATTTTTTAATTTTTTTCCCCAGAACAAATTTATTTAGTTCAAATCTAACATGAAAACGCTAATGTTTTTTTCGAGTCTTCTAATGTCATGGTTCGTTTTTATTTTAGACTTGAAAAAAGTTATGTTTCTGATTGGCCTCGTTTTCACAATTAGCAGATGAAAAAGACATTCAATCTGTTGAAAAAAAATTGTTCTTGCTATATTCACTAAATTGAGACAAATAATCAAAAAGGTATCTGTAAGATTTAAAAAAAAATGAAAAAATAACGTTTTATTTATTTTTTTTTTTTTTTTTTTTTTTCAAATTCTACTAAAATTAATTTATAAATTTTCCAAAACCGTTTTTATTATCTATGATTATAAAATGTTTTCAAAACAAATTTTGTAATATGTTGGTAATATTGATGTGAAGAAATTTTCAAATTAAACTTGTAGTAGACCCATAATTTCCAAAATTTTGTGATTTTATTCATATAATTTTGAAAAAGATGAGAAAGTGAAGAAATATTTTCTTCTGTAAATTAAAATTTTTTATTAATTTTACGACTCGTAGTTTTTTAGATTAATTTTACATTAATACATGTTATTTTCATATGACCCGTTATAAGCTAATCTCCCAATTAATTTTTTAAATACATTTTACAAAAATATTTGAAATTTTAAGACGTCAAGCAATAATTTGATCTTGTAAAAAAAACTGAAAAAGATTTTAGTGTAAAAAAAATTAGTATACATGTAATTCTGAATATATATGAACCTGTGGATTTCAAATAATTTTTTTAATTTTACTCTTTAGACGTTCGGTAATTATCTACGATAAAAACTTATCATAACATTTTTATTTAAGATCAAGTTATTGAAGTTTTAATTTTAAATTTGTAAATATTACTTTAACATTTTATTTATTGCATTAATTTTATAATAGATTTTAATGTTGAATTTAAGTAAACTTGTGCGTTGCATTTGTATATATGTATTTACATGAATGATGGGTTGTTCCATTTTAAAGTGACCTTTTTTTTTTTTATTCAAGTAAAATATTGACAACTCATAGTAAAAAAAGGTGTCTGCAAAAAATTTTTTTTCTCAGTAATAGACTAAAGGTATTTGAAAATTTGATTTAATTGGGTAAAGGAAAAAAATGTCATTGTAAAATGGGATTTTCTAACGCATGACCGATAATATATTCCTTTTTTAGCTCAACCAAAACATTCTGAAATCGTAATTTCTTTTGTTTTTAGTATCTTATTAAGATATTACAATTGTGATTAAAATGATAATTGTTTATTTTAACGCAATCACCGTTGGTATATACATATATACTCATATTGTAAGTGTTTACGAGTATACAATGTATGTACAGAAGACTGTCACACGTTGATGATGCATGAGAAAGAATCTATATGTATTTGAGATACTTTTTTAAAAATAAAATTTGAGTATACAGGAAAAATTGCTGCTGTATCACTTTATTTATTGTCATAATATTTCTCTTATTTTTAAGTAGTTTTAATAAAAAAAAGTCAGCTATTATCTTAATCTTTATGGTGAAATTATGTTACCACAACTTGTTGAATAACTCTCCCAAAAAAAGAGAGATATAAAAATCATTTTAATTTAATATATGCTAATTTATTTTTTCTCTATCGTACACATAGATTCCGAAAAAAATTAAGGGAACATAAAAATTTCTACTTTTTTTTAGTGACTTTTAAAGATTGTAATTTTGTCAATAATTATCCGTTGAGAAGTAAAATAAAAAAGCATTTCTAAAGGTGAAGTATTTTAATTTGAAACTTAAAAACAAAAAAATATTTTCCGGCTAAACTCTCAACGTAACCGAAAGAAATATAACGTAACATAAAGAAAAATTTTTTACTTTTTTTTTAATTATCGAAGTGCTTTGAAAAATTCGAGCTTAATATATTCTTATCATTGTTTTACAAAAATATTTAGTTATTTTATTATATATACACATACATTAGTAGTCTAGAAATAAATGAATATCAATTTATGTGATGGAAATGTATTCACACTTATCGGTTTTATGATGTCAGTTTTGTTAATTAAAAAATAAATTGTTTCTCAACTAATAATAAACATGTAATTGTCAGGAAAAAAACTTGGGATCTTTTAGCAATTTTATAAAATTAAAAAAAAAAAAATGATAACTTACTGTAAAAGTTTCTGCGCTCATGTTCAATAATATCGATTAACTTACGAGGTCAATAGGGCGCGTTTAATCTAAAAATAAACGGGTTAAATCGTTGAGAAGTTAAGATTTGAATGGATTTGATTAAAAGAGGTCAAAAGTAAGTAATTAATTGTACTATCTCTTGATTGGTTGAGATCTAGTTGAAAAAATTAGTTAAACAAGTGATAGGGTAATTTTCAAGCTTCTCTGATAAAGTAAGCTCTCTTTACCTAGATTCATCACATGAGCGAAAGGACGAGGTGCTGCCTGGTACGCTAGTCGTAGGTACCCCCTCTTATTCATCGATACTCATACTTAGTAATCCTTTACTCAAACTTACCTTACTGATCTTATCCTCAATTTTATCGTGCACCGCGCTTGCGGGGATCCACAACGAAATACATTCACATGCACGAATTCAAATGTCAAATTTTGTTATTCTCACTCTTTCGCTTGATCTAACCGATTTACTCTACTAAGCAATTTCATTTCAGTTTTAACGGGTAATTCATGGAACACACTACAAAGCCAAAAATTGATAGTAGCAAGTTTAAATAATTTTTTTCTTCCTATCCGATTAATTATCCAATCTATTTTGATCCTAAAATTTAAAAAGAAAAAATTAGTAATTGAGTAAAAAACAGAATAACCCAGGCAATAGATAAATAATGATATATTTATATGGAGTTTCGTGAAAAATATTAAATTCGAAGAATGAATTCTTAAAAAATGAGGCTCCCAGTGAGAGATGACATCTCAGATATTAAACAAGAAAAAGAAGAAGAAACGGTTGAAAATAATCAGGATGTAACAGAGCCTGTCACTAGCGATGTTCTATTGGATATTGGTTTGTAAATCTATAAATATGGTTAAAATATTTTATTTTAATCTTATTATTGATAATTTTCCTTTAAGATTCGGTTCCCTTGACTCTTTACGAACGCTTCTTATCTGTAAAACAAATTGTTAAGGATGCGATAGCCGCACATCACACTTTTATGATTTATGGGCGTGCCAAAGTTATTCGAGAGTGTTTGCTCAAACGCGGCTGGGTCGAAAAATTTTATCGAAGAAATAGTAATGGAGAAAGATCAAGAAATCAGCATTCAGTTGTTAAAACGCACCATCGTTTACGAGTACGAAATGTTCTTGGCGATCAACAATTTGACCAAAAACAACAACCTCGGATTCAATCACAAACTCAACAACACGCTGGAGCAGATTCAAGCCCAGTAGTTCTACTTTCTGGAATTGGAGATCTTAAGGATGAGCAAAGTAAACAATTACTGATTTCTAAAATGCTTGTGAATCATACAGTTGATTTTTTATGGAATTCGGGATCAGATTGGTCTGGATGGCCATCACAGAATAACAAAACAACTATTTTCAATCGCTACTCTAGAGCTGGATTTACTTCTAAGGTAATGAAAAATTTTAATTCTAATTGAATCGTTTATGTTATTAGATTTTTAGATTTTAAATTTTACAGGTTGGATTGTGTTCAAATGTGCGTCAAATGCACTGGTACTACGAACCAGGTATTGCAAATACTCTCTTCCCACGTTGCTACAATATTTGTCAAGCTGATCATTTACATGCTTTTATTGAAGACTTCAGGTGAAAAAAAAAATTTTTTTTTTTAACATTTTAAAACGAATAATTATTTTTTATTGTGGATACATGACTTTAGAGTCAAAAAACTTTAAAAAAAAAAGTTGATGAGCTATTGCAATCTGTTGAATTTGGAAAACTTGTATGAAATAATATACACAACTTTCGTATTTTTTCAAAAATTTTCTACTTCTAATCCAATTTAGGAGTAGTTTCAAAGATTTTTGAAATTTAAAATGAAAATTTTGTTACAATAATCTATATCAATATACCAGAAAATGATACAATTGTATAAAAATAATCTTATCATTTTTTAATATCTTATTTTTAATACCGTTTGCCCAAAACTATTAGTAAAAAGTCGATCAAATAAGACGTTTTTGTAAAATCATTATCTATGAACGTTTCTATGAACAAAAAATTACGAAAAAAAAATTTTTCTACTTCAAACCAATACCGTTATTTCTTAGGAGTTTTTTCATTAATTTTATTGAAGGTTTTTCGAAAAATAATGTTGTTTAGTCAAAAAATTCTAAATTTTTTTAAAATAACGGACTAACGACGGAATTTTTTTTTTTTTTTTTTTGTTATTTTAACTCTAATGTTTTTATGATTTTTTTTAATCAACAAAAGTAATTTTTCTTGTATTAAATATTGATACTTATTGAATTTTGTTATTTCTCGTTCGATTGTTATTCGTATGGAAAAAGTACTTAAAAAATTTGTAAAATAATTTACAAGTAATCACGTTAAAAAAAAAAAAATATTTATATTTTAGGCTCACGGCTTGTGTCAGTTTATTGAAATGGTTTGTCGAAAAAATGGATAATCAAACAGAAAGCAGAGAGATGCCATCCACAGTACCATTAAAAGCATTAGATTTTGCAATACGTCGTTGCAGTGATTTTATAGCAGCTCAATCACACGAAGATATTGATAAAGAAAGTGAACGAGTATGGTCGCATCAATGGGATCAATTTATTTGTTGGTATTATAAAATTGTACAAAATGAAGCTTTTTTTCTTGGAACCGACATAGCTTTTCAAGTAAATTTCACTTGGTATAACATTTATTGAGATGGATGATATAATTTTACATAAACTTAGAAAATTATTTTGTTTTAGAAATATATCCTTGCGGCAAAGCATATTTTAAAACGAATGAGAAAATACTGGCAACAATTAGACATGGATGGAGTGTTGAGTATATGGATATTGAAACCTGGAAATCGGAGTCGTGGTCGTGGTATTGTACTAATGAATAAAATTGAAGATATTATAGCTAAAATTAGTCCAGCAAACAAGTCAGATACACGCTACGTCGTGCAAAAGTATATTGGTAATATATAATTAAAATTATTAATAGTAGGATAATTGTCTCTACTTATTTTAATACACATCTTAATTATAGAAAGACCATTGCTGATATACAATACAAAATTTGATATCCGACAGTGGTTTATCGTGACTTGTGCTCAACCTTTAACATTATGGATGTACAGGTGTGTTTTGATAATGTCGCGTGTTCGAACATTTCTAAAAATAGTATAATAATGCATGAGTATAAATTACTAAATTTTATCTTTAGTATAAATATCAGAATTAAGGACCAGTTTTTCAATCCGTGATAAAATTTTATTGCTGGTATATCTATAATTATGAAATTAATAAATATAATTTAACATTGAAAAAAATTCTATCCCGGATTGAAAAACTGGCTCTCAATATTTTTATACATAAATATAGTTATTTAGATATACTGAAATTAAAAACTGAATTTGCTTTCTTTGTAGACGTTGTGATTAAACAAATAAGCTTCCTTTGTAAACTTTCATAATTATCAAGTTGCGAATAATTCTAAGTTTATGTTGTTTCGATCTGTAATCTAATGATAGTATTTAGCTTTTTTCAAAAGTAATTCACTTACATAAGTTTAAGCTTGTTTTACTATATAGTTTAACTTCTTTCATCGTAAAATGTATTATTCTCTATTACAAATTAATTTATATTTATCTGCATAAGAGTATAATTTTTTAGATTATTTCAAAACTATTGTTTTTGATAATTTTGGGATCAATTGATTATAATTTTTTGTGAATTTTTTAAATTAAATTTAAAATTTTAAAGTTACTTTAAATTCTCAGTGCTTTTAATAAATAAAAAATAAACCACTATTCTAAAAAATATATCGAATTAATTCAATTAAAATAGTTATATTAAATTGTAAATTCAATTTTTGTATTCAAAGATAAACTATTTGTCGATAAAAAAATTGAAAATGAATTTAAAATTTTACCCTACATAATATATTTTCTTTTCAAGAGAGAGTTATTTACGGTTTTGTTCCCAAAAGTTTCGTTTGAATGATCTTCACGAATCGATACATTTAAATAACCATGCAGTTCAATGCAAATATAGAAATAGTCCAGACCGTGATACAGCGCTGCCCAATGACAATATGTGGGATGCAACTACATTTAAAAAATTTCTCAAGTACACCAACATAGTATTATTCAGCTATTTATAATTGGCAAAATAAAAATTATGTTTAATTATAATTGAATTCTTTTTTTTTAGTTCTCAAGGTCACAGTAGTGCTTGGGATGAATTAATTTATCCAGGAATGAAACAAAGTCTTGTAGGTTCACTATTAGCCAGTCAAGAGGCAATGGATCGACGAAAAAATAGTTTTGAATTATATGGCGCAGATTTTATGGTGATGGAAGATTTTTCAGTGTGGCTAATTGAAATCAATAGTCATCCAGATATGAGTTACAGTACAACTGTAACAACTCGGTTGTGTAAACAAGTTATGGAAGATTTGATTAAAGGTACAAAAGACGCCCAAATTCATTTGTATTTAAGTAGTCAAAAACCTTAGAAAAAAAAACTCAATTTAATTATCTAATTAGTACTTCAAATGAATTGAATACTATTGTTTAACATTCTAACATATGTATTACTTGAAAGTCCAGTAATATTTTGCTAAATTTTTTACTTTCAATATGAAACGTTACAGTTATTATAGATTTTCGAGAAAATAAAAATGCAAATACTGGTCTATTTGAGTTGGTATACAAACAGCGAATGCCCAACTGTCAACCGTATTTAGGTACTGCGTTGTCTGTTCAAGGAACAAGCATAAATACTAATGAGAAAAAGTTAAATAATCCAGATAGTAAAATTATTCCCAAACTCCCATTGGTAATAGAATTCTACACTAAGATATTACCTCTTTCAATTAATATTATTAATTAATATGCATATTTATGTTTAGAGCTGCATATCAAGGAAAAAATCAACGGCAAACAATTATATCGGACCAGTAATTATTGACCTCATTGAAGAATTAGAAATTCAAATAGATCGCGAATTGCATTCTTATTATAAAGAAAATTCTCTGAATGATTCAAACTTTTCATCACCTATCTTAACATCTCCTATTACCTCGTCATCACAAAATTCATTAGCTCTTGCACCAGTTCATGTTGAAGGTGGCCCTAGTCTGAAAGATTCGATAAGTTTTACGAGTTCTGGAATTAGCTCAAAAAAGCTATCACCTATTCGGGTAAGTTGAAATTTAAAAATAGAAAATATAAATCTAAGTAAATTAATTAATTATTATTTGTTCTAGAGTACTCAAAAGACTAAAAGAAATACGCAAAGTGGCCATTCGTCACAAAAGTTGTTTATGAATAACGATTCAATAAAGAAATACTGTTCGAAACAGAAAACATCAAAAGTAACAAATAATCATCGACAGATAGCTAAAACTGCCGGGAAATTAAAGTCAGAAAAATATGCTAAGAAAAAAAATGAGGATGAAAAGGTAAAATAATATTTTAATAGAGATAAACTATCTTTTGAACGAATTGTTTTCGGAATCAAATATTAAGAACTAAAAAATATTTTTATTAAATTTTTTTCAACATATTTTTATGTTTAAAACATCATTTATAAATAAATCATTATTTTCTAATTTGTCTTCATTTATTTTATTATTTAAGACTTGCACTTATAATAATAATAATAATGATTTGTTTGTTACAAATTTACGTTAGTTTCCTTTTTTTACTTTTTAAATACTTTGCATATAGTAGATTTAAGTTATACACAAGTAATGAAACTATTTAATTATTAATTGACTTTTTTTATATTTATCAATATTTCATAATGAGAGCCTCGGTAGAGAGACAAGCAAGAAATGAATGGCATACATAATTATAAGTCTGGTCGTGCTATTTTTTTTAAATATTAAATTAAGTTAACTTGATTTATTATTTTATTTTTAGTTGATGGGAAAAGCAGTTCGTAGTGCAATAAATAAATGTAAAAAATATGAAATTATTTCCCTCGATGTACCACCACTGCCATCATTAACAACACCAAGAAAATCCGGAAATCGAGTATCTAGATCTTTTGTAAATAGTAAAATAAAAGATAATTTCTATATTCAAAAGAAGCAAGAAGCACTAGCGATAACCGAAATATGCGCTAAAGGTCTGAGTTTAACTAAATAGAGTTGACAAACTTTCAAATTTTTTTATTTGTCCATACAGTTGTTAATAATAGTGAACAATTAAAGAAAATCATTAAATGTAAAAAACAATTTATTTACATTACAAATAATATCGAAGAATTTCACTTGGTTGTCACACTTTTATAATATTATTCAGTAAGCCATTCACACGATAAGCGTGATACTAATTGTTCATTTAAATTGTTTTATATATACATAAATTAACAATATTAATATACAGGTTGTGTGATTTCAATGACCCCACGAATATCAAACAATTGGTAAAAAATCTTAACAATAGTTGGATCGAACAAACAACAAATAAATAGAATTATTTGATGTTTGTATGATTGATCAAATCGATATTTATATAAACTGGCAAATTATTACCTACTCAAGATCCTGAAGGGATATCTAACAGCACAAAAGATGACTTGAAATTAATTTTAAGACTCACGTTACTGGTTTTAAAGTGAAAGAAAGTTTAGGCCTCGAATTATTTTTTCCCAATATTTTCTTTTGTTCTTCTTTAACTCGCTTTTCTTGTTCTTTTCTCATCTTCTGACGCTCTTCTTCCATAAGACGTTGTTCTTCAACCATTGCTAATCGTTCTTCAGCCTGAAGTTAAAAACAAAATATATTAAAAATCAAAATTATTTCATAATAAAAAAAATATATATGTATTTTAAAAATTTTACCAATTTCTTTTGAGCCTCTTCAATTTTCCTGTTGTTTTCTTCCATGATCCGTTCGAGTTCCTCACGTTTTTTCCGCTCTTCCTCCTACAACGACAATAGTACAGTTTTACAATATGAAATAATAGTTGTGGCCCTTATTGTTGCAGTTATCACACTGTTTTGCTTGTTGTGCTGCTATTTTGACAACTTGATAAATACAATTCCTATAAAATATTTCTCTGTACAGGAAAGAATGATAGTACAGCCCGGGAAAATGTTGAAAAAAAAAATTTCTAAAATAAACATATTTTAAATAAATTAATTTTGGTACTATTATCTTAAAGTAGATAAACATCTACGATAACATATGTGAGAAATGAATTCTATAAAATTTGGGCCATAATTTTATTATCTTCCCCGCAGCGACTGCTGCTACTCTTCAATGAGTAGACGACGTCACGGAGAATATATTTATTGTGTTGATATGCATTTATAGTTGAGTAAATAAAAATAATATACTTATTATTTTTTATGTTATGAAATTATGAATATATATAAATTGGATAATACCTGAATGTAGCTCACGTCAGCATGTAGGGGATGACTTCTTCATCAACAATCACTCGGCAGTAAATATAATACCGGCATCTTCCGCTGGTAGTCAGTTTAGGAAGCTGACCTATATATTTTGCTATTGGTCGTGCTTTGATGCTATTGGGATTTCTTACTGATTTTTTTTGTTTGTTTTTTTTTCATTAAAAAAATTCTACTCAATGGTTCTTCATTTTCATCCGAATAAGCATTAAAAAATTATTATAGCTCGATGTATTTTGATATATATATATATATGTACATATACAAAGATAATTTAATGGCAATAAAACGTAACTTGCTTTGATTATTTGAAACTTTCTTGTTACTATTAATTACAGCCATCAAAAATCTAGATAAGGGTATTGAAATTAACAGAAATTTGCAGATAAAAAAAAAATGAAATTAGGATTGAAAGATCGCTGAATAGATATAGAATTACAATGCTAACAAGTTTTTTAACGCGATTTTTACTTTATAATTCATTACAAAGAAATTCATAAATATTTTTACGAATTTACATTGTTGATAGTAATAACTATTACAAATTTAAATTAATTTTTTAACGCATCTAATTTGTTTATCTTATTTTTTTTTCATCAAATTGAATCAGAATTCTAATAATACGCATGTCATACCGTACAATCTATCAGTGTTAACAATAAGTTAATGTAACGGTGTTGTCAAATAGAAATAGGTATATCTATATACAAAAAAAAATATATTCTCGGTAATTCGTAACAATAAAATATATACGTACACGACACGAATAACACCATATACGTTGCTTTTGGCAACTTTTTGTTGCATCACAAATAAATTAGTTGGCTACATTGCTACACTTCAAGTAGACATAATAAAAAATCGAAGTACAGTGATTTTCTGAGTGAAACGTTTCATGGTAACTCAAAAAATCCACAAAACTTAAACGCACGAACGCTGTAGCAAATATAAAATCGAATCCTGAATATCAACAAAACCATTGGCGACAATAATTTAATACACAAGTACAAAAAAGTATAACTCTTTAAAATTATCAAGATATTTCATCTAGTATCAAATATAGTACTTAATAATATCGTCAACGTAATTGTTAAATTGAGGTAGCGACGTTAATTATGCTCTTACTCAGCGCTCGCGATAAATCATCCAATGTTTCTCTGGATTGGTCTTACCTCTCTTCGTTTCTCCTCCTCGCGGAGTTTAGCCTGGCGCCATTCCATTTCTTCCATCATTTGTCGTTCAATAGCTTTTTTAGCCTCTTCTACTCGTCTATGAACTTCTGCTTCAATCTCCTCCTTACGTTTTTCTAATTCTTCTTCCACCCTTTTTTGGACTAGCTCTTCAATGCGTTTAGCAGCCTCTTCTTCCACTAACTTTTGCTCTGTTTCTCGTTGCCGCCTAAATTATTAATATTATATTAATTTTTTTGTGCAAATGTTGTAGAGGTTTCTTAATTTTGCAACCTTATAACAACAATAACAATGATTCATTTTATTATAACATTCCTCATAATAATGATTGTCATCATTATTACCATAATAAGTATACAGAAGTTAATATGATTTCGTATGAAACCATTTAAATGTAAAAGAAATAAATATGAAAATTTTTTATCGTCAATTGACAATTGTCATGCCGTATAAAATTGCTAACAATAAGAAAAGATTAATTATTTTGCCCGTGCATTTTCTAATGAAAAATAATATGATACCACCACCAAGGCACATAGTTTTTAATCTAATTCTTACCGGATTGCGCTTGTGGCGAGGGTATTGTGCGTTAATTCTTTCTTTTTCCTAATAACACAAGTATAAAAATGAACCACATATATAAGATAAAAATAAAAACACCATTATAACTTACTCTACGTATTTTATAAATTAAAACACGATCGAGTAATTTTTCAACAGTGGTGTTTCCAGTTATTTAATTTATTAATAATAATACCTTTGACGTTCCATTTCAGCTAATCGCTCAACTTCATCCATTTTTCGATCTCTATCTTTGAATAAGCGTTTTTTATGGCTGACAATATGTACATCATCAGAGCCATCAGAATCACTACTTGTTGATGAAGAATGTGAGCGTTTTCTAAAATGATAAAAATATGAAAAATTTAGTTAAAATGCATATTCAAAATAATACCATTACTGCATACCAATACTTTTGTGATTGTAAATTGTTATAATATTGATAAATTACCTTGTTTTAGAACTTCGTTCTTTTGATTTTTCCAAATATTTATTATTAGAACGTTTTTCACGCGATTTAGAACGTTTTCTTGAATGTTTACTCTTATGACGCCGTCTGCTACTTGGCGACTTACTACGCGTTCTGGATCTGCCCATTTTTTTATCTTTTTATTTTCGGAATTCTATAAGCAATACATTTGTTTCAATATTTAATAGTGATACAATATTTAATAATTACTTTTATACTTATGAATAAATGGAAACGATACGCACTAGTTATTTACTTTAAAGAAATAGATAGATTAAGGTAAGTGTAGTCTCTGGTCGACGTTGACACATGTAACTACGTCCGCCATGTTACTAATAATTATAATGATTATAAATATGGACACTGAAACTGAAAGTAGCTATAACTACACAGTTCAATATAGATACTAATTTTATTATTTTTGTTTTATTTATTTATTATTATAATTCATGTGATTTACTGTTATTTATTTATTATTAGTCTATCAATTTAGAGTTATAATTTCACTGTTGTAAACATTTTAATAGTTTTTCACAATACATGTGCATGTGCTTGAAAACGGGCGGTAAATTTAACTCCTCTATTGCTCATAAAGAAAGTTATAGTTATTATATATAAAGAGTAGACTGATATTCACATTAAGATTTTTGTTAAATAAACATCAAAAGTTGATAAACTGTGTCTTTTTTTAAATAAATTTTTCAAATTTTCATTAACTATACACTTTGCGATATATAAGACACAATTATAAGGTAAAATTAAAGACGTAAGCATCAAATATAATAAGATTTGTCATTTGATATTCTAATAAAAACTAATTGGGATTAAATTATATTCAAACTCATAATTGCACGCCTCATAGCGCGAAGCACGTGAGGTTGTGCTTTACATCCGACTCGTCAAGGTCAAGCAATTTTGTGATCTTCAAATGCCTCTATCACTATACCATATTGCACTTATCTATACTATAATATTATAAAGAGGAAAGATTTAATTGTTTGTTTGTTTGTTTGTTTATTTATTTGTTTACATTGAATAGGCTCCAAAACTACTGAACCGATTTGAAAAATTCTTTCACTGTTGGGAAGCTACACTATCCCCAAGTGACATAGGCTATATTATTATATTATAATTAATTAAAAAATTTTTGTTAAATACCCGTGCGAAGCCGGGCGGATTGCTAACAACAATATGAGTAGACCTACAATAATATAAGGAGACGTACATCGAGAAAACACTCAAATTAATCCATCTTATAATTCATAAAAATCATTTCATGTTGCTATTTTGAAAAAAAAAAAAAACGTTTCGAAAAAAGTTTAACGTGGACGTCCTGATGTCACACCCGCTGATTTTGCATGTACCAACGATTACTCCTGAAAAAAATTGACATTTCGAGACTGGGTTTTTTTTATTAGTTTAAGAATTCAATGAACTGGGGCTGTATTTCATATAAGTAGTCTAGTTTACGTATTTTTTTTGTAAATTGAATTTTTATCAAAACAAACGAACTTTTTTTATTTCTCTCACGTGAAAACGATGGCGCCACTTAATCAAGCTAGATTTTTTTAGACTGCGTGCGCATATGAGAAGAAAAAAATAGGCACCGATAATTAAAAAAAAAAAATAGAAAAGACTAAGAAATTACTTAATTATTTTTTTTTAATCATTTACACAATTTATTTTTTTCTTAAAAAATGAATAAGCGTTATGAGGTGTGCACTTTTGGATTTTCCAAACTTTTTTCCTCTCATGGAAATTTAAAAAATTCTCTATATCATCCCACTACAGTTTCATAATTCGAAAGCTATTGTAGTATTTTCCATTTCAAAGAATATTTTATTTTATTCTTCTTTCTGTATTTTGACAAATTCATAAATTGTGATGTCATTTTTATCAAAGTGTCTATTAATTTTATTTCTTCTTTGTACACTGGATACTTACACAAATCATTTACAAATCTTCAATAATTCTTTTCTGCGATAATTGAATCGAAATTATCTGATGGTTTGCCTAAAATTTTTATGATAAAACTGATCAAATAAAGGATAATAATCAGATGAATCAATACGAAACTTCAATTAATTAATTTTTTCGAATAATTACATATTTTTTTTCTTGAATAGAATAGTTTACATAAGAAATTTTTTTCTTTATTTTAAATTTAATTGATAGATTTGATAAAAAAAATCAATAAGATGCACTAGGGTAAACGACCCCATTAGTGGCGGGGACCCCATTACTGACACTTTCTTTGATTTTGGTACTTATTCAATTAATTAAATCACTAATTTCAATAATAAATATATTATTTATAATCTTTAAGACCTTTTCATCAAAAATATTTGTAATTTTCATTCCAAGTAGAACATTTTTTCATTGAAAGAAAAAGTGCCACTAATGGGGTCTTATATAAATTTATATGATTTCTAATTTCCATCAAAGGTTAATTATTATTAATAACTAAAAATAAAAATAAAAAAAAAAATGTATATTAATTTTTAGATTTTTTACGGTCAAAAATAAGTAGAGCCCCTAGTTTATTTATTTGCTATAATTAATAAGATTGATTAAATTCTCCAAAAATATTTGAATTAATCGCAGGTAAGCATACAAAATAGAAATACAAATTAATAAAAAATACAATTTATCAAACTTTTTCTTCTCATCTGTGCTTGCATATCTTAACGCGTTAAGATATACATTTGTCCACTGACAAAACAGAAAATAAGTAGATAAGATTAGATTATATTATATAGATTCTGATAGATTTCCCTCTCGAATTGACCGAAACAAAAGATGAAGAGTTCAACTACTGGCGCCATCGCGGTAATTACTTTACAATGACTGAGGTTTAATGCGCGCGCATGTTAAAGATCATGAGTGAATTTTACGTATGTACCACAAAATCATGATGGCACTATTCTGTTTGTGGTTATTTAATCAACGGTAAAATATGTGAAAAAAAAAAAAAAAAAAAAAAAGATTGATACATAAATAATCTTTTTAACGACTTAGCATTGGAAAATTCACTTATTGAATTTAACAAAATTTAATTAGCGTGATCAGAGATAACTTACAATTCGTAGTTATTTAATGCTAAACTACTTTCGTAATAGTGACATAAGTTCTATCGATGATTAAGATTTAAGATAAGGTAAATATAAAATTCTTTCTGAGAGAGGTACATATTCAATATAAAGTTATTATAAAAATATGAAAACCAACGAATTGTAAATCATAAAAGCAATCATAAAACTTGTGAGTATATAATATACAAATATACAAGATACAATAGACATAATCAGTTGGTGGCAACGTACTTTTTTTTTAAGGAAAAGCAGCAAAGTGGTGTTGGCCTATCGGGGGGTCAAGGTGCTCTCCGACTTGGTCTTGTGACGTATGTGTGTCGCTAAGGGCTGCCAGAAGTCAAAAGAAATAATAAAAACAATATTTAACTTGGTTGCAGTTGTCTCGTATTCATTGAGTGACGGCGTGTGTATTCTATTTTTGTTTTATCCTCGATGCGTCGTTTTATTAGTCGTCAAGGTGGAGGACGACCACGAAAAAGTAACGTCACCTGGAAGTAGCAAAAACGTCAACGCCGTTAGTTTAGACGGCAATATTAATTACAACGACTGCAGCAACGATCGTGAAATAAATATTAACGCATTATACTCAAAAGATTACATTAACATCACTGAGAGGACACATCTTTTCTGGATCCAAATTTTAAAGTGGGCCAAGGAGGTGCAGGAAGCACCACCCGAGAACCACACGGAATTATAACAAAAAAGATGGCCTTCAACGAGGTAAATATTTTATTTTGTTTCCCAAGTTCAAGCATATGTCCTAACCTCACCCTCTTCAGAATAAATTGACAAATAGTCAACTTTTATCTTGTAGTAAAACAAGAAGTTATAAACAAAAACGTTTTATTTTATATTTAGTTGATTTAATAAAAATTTTAGATATGACAAACCAATATTTGCGCATCATGATATACAATCGCGTTCATTAATTTGAGTCGGTTTCTATGTTTAGGGATTTATTGCCAATCCTTAATTTGGAGGATTCTAAACTCTAAAATTTGAAAATCATAAATTTTTTCATTTGTAAAATAAGCAAAATGTAAAAAATAATATTTCCTAAATGGTAGAAACGTAAATAATGTCTAAAATAAATTAAATGTATCGTAAAATGTAAAAAATAAAAAAACAGACATCTAGAAATAAAGAAATTTGCAAATTAAATTATTCGTAAAATCAGCAATTTAAAAAAAAACATCAATGAAATTTCACCACTTTAAAAATTACCGAATTTAAAATAAATAATCATTAAAAATATTCTAAATTAAAAAATAAATAATTGAAAAGTATGAACATCTAAAATAACGTCATATTACAAAAAATGAAATTATTGTAAATTATTCTTTTGAAAATTTTTAGGGCCATTTTTTCAATCCCGATAAAATTTTATCCAGGATAAAATTATTATTGCCAGTACACCTATAAACATGAAATATATAGATATATATTGGTATCGGATAAAATTTTATCTTGGATTGAAAAACTGGCCCTTATAGTCGTAAATATTGCCACTTAAAAACTTGAATTGCTGAATTCACCCGATACTAAAATTGAGATTCATAAAAATTTCAATTCTTTTTAAAACTTAGGTTATTATTATTTTTTACATGAATGAACGCAATTGTATGTCTGATGCGCGTATATGATATTTGATATATAAGTCAAAGACTCAAAAAAGATGATATAATTTGCTCTTTATTTTTATCACTATTTCAATTATCATTTGAAAGATCCCATCAGCTTATAGCGACAATAATTAAAAGAAAAAAAAAAACATTTTACATTCCTTAGGTAAGAAGCACTAAAGTATAGATTACTGTAGCCTAAAAATGAAAAGTTGTTGATTTCATAATTTAAACCGTATTTTAATCAATTGTACATAATTAAATGGTATACTAAGTACACTGCATGCAAAAGATATAAATGGGCTCGTTCAAGTTTACTAAGCTCTTGGGAGATCTTAGCAGATCATGTACCAGAAACTAAAAGTGACTAAATTCTCTTTAAAGAATATTTATAAGAAAACAATGCAAGGTATA